TATTAAACTCACAGATTGGGTAACAAAATGGTGACCATGGACAGACTCTCTCTACATATGCTCTGATCCCAGTTAAACACATGTTTTTTCATACAGGCGTCTGTAACGTGGTAAATCTCTATCCAAAATAACATTGAGCTGTGACTAAGTATAATGTTTGAAGTCTATCGCGTCCATGTTTGTGTAAGCAATATTCTCAAATAACTGGTCTGAAACTGATTTTCTTATTTAGGGGAAATAACTCATCGGAACCGATTCTCTATTAGTAGATATAATACCAAAGGTGAGAAACCGTTGTCCAACTTAAGGTGGGATCAAAGTCTACTACCCTACATTTAGTCAACCACTCACCAATTTTCACTAGTTAAACAATTTTAATTCTATGATGACGGTTTAAAAATCTAGACATGACCCACTTCACCGACCAGTGAATGTCTATAAAATATGAATGCCTCTTAAACAAGAAATCTATGTAGATTATGATTTAAATGGGTCTTTTTAAAGTTTTTAAACCTGTAAATGATTGACAACAGTTTTTCTTGTAAATCACAACCTAATATGAATGTTTGCACAAACTCAAATTCATAAATCGGATTGTTCAGTTATGCATCACTATTTATAAACAACATATTCTTACAGGATATGCATGCATTACATGAATTGTACCCTAAAGGTATTTTATAGCAATAAATGACATGTTTAGTTTATTGATATTGGGTGTAACATTATAATTTATGTTGATACAGTTTACATGTGAAATGAAATGGGGTTAACGTCCTGCACCGATTTCACATGTACATGTGTACTACATGTACCTACTCAATGAAATCAAAGCAATGTACCCACTACCTGTTGTAAATTTTAATAAAATTTCTGTTAAATTCGTTTATGGAATACAAACAGATCTTGGAAACTTGAGATGTCTGTCAACTTCCACACAGGCTTTGCGTTCCTGTCATCTATTTCAGACAAGCTTTGCTGGGATAAAATATTAATTTTGCAAGCCTAATGGAAATATATGTAATGCACCTGTCTGGTCACTTCACAGACATTGTCAGACACAAAATCCGGCTTTGTCAGGCACAATCCCTCTGGTGCATTTCATTTTTTTCGACACTAATTTGTCTTTTTTCTGTGTATTTACTGATAATATTGACTAATACACATCTGACACAAAAGTTTAAAATGTCTGGTACAAGTTCAGTAGTTCCTATCCTATCAGACAAAACTAAAATCGTTATTTCCAAGCCTGACATTTTGGTAAATTGTTTTATTGTCTACAATTGAATATATATTTTTTTCCCCAGTAATTCGGTTTACATGTACATGTACATGTACATACAACTAAATAGTTGGTTAATAGACATATAGGGCCGATGGACCTTTCAATACTGAAAACTCAGACCTTGAACTTACACAGAATGTGGACATATTTTCATTGAGAAAATAATTAACTTTTTTGTTCATTATAGGGAATGCGTTTACGATACGGCTGTAAGGGACAGTATTAAAACAATTTGGAATCCAAGTTGAGGAAATTCTTAATAAATCATGTCTATTAAACCATGGTTCTTAGAAATAAGCTGGCCTGGTTGACATCAAAAGAAGCCATTATCTATCTATGAAAGGTCGGTTGTCAAAATGACATTTGTTGCGACATGGCATTATGAAAGAGAGACAAATGCTGTCTGGAACTGACTATATTTAGAATGTTTATTCTTAAAATAACTTATTATTAAATAAATACATGACATGCAAATAGAGAGGGATATAATTTTAAATCAAACATCCACAAGTCTTTGATTCCGGCAATAGGCAAAGCTTTTTTGTGTGAGCTTGGGGCCGTGGGCATGGCCTGTCTGTGTGTCTTGTCTTGTAGGTTTTATTTGCGTGTAGTGCGATCATCCTACACTTACTATTAGATCGGCATTGACAGACAATACAACCTGAAACCAATAGACTACAATCTCTAATTCCTACTTCCCTTAATTCGTTAGCAATTGCACTGCCTAACACCAGGGCTCCTTAGAGTGCCTGAAACCACCTGAGTCAGTGGAACAGCTGAGATGCCCCAAAGGACTGGTATACATATATATGTACAATAAATATTCACATGACTGGCAGTTTGAGGCGGTCTAGGGAGCAGTAGTTTGGGATGATTTTAGATTCCCACTCCCAGGGATATAACCGTAATTACATGTACATATATCCAGGGCTAGAGGGTAAAATTATTTTAGACATGTTGGCCAGAGATTCTATGCAGACTCGAAACACCCAGGGATGGTATTGTACAATGTAGGAAGGGATTTTAAGAAATGGTAAAGTAAGCCAACAAGGAGGTCCTGGATGCAGTGGTTGTCTGCACCTTTCCAGAAACTATATATTACAGCTCATGTGTTGTTCCTTGTGGTGTTACAGTTGTGGTGGTCTGTGAAACATACAGTAGCCTTACACTGCTGGCATATCATATAATAGTCACTAGCCTCAGTAAGCCTAGAAATGACATATCTTTCAACCACTCATATAGTTTTTCACCTACATATATGCATTTCTGTTTTGAGGGGTAGTAAACTTATCTAATACATGAAGATTAAATAGATAAATATTGTAATTTTATATCTTGTGTAGAGTAAACATTATAATTCAAGACAAATATATGCCTATAATTTCTGTTCACCAGATATGAACAAACCTCCATATCCAATAGTAAGTACAGGAGAACCACACTACACACAAAACAAAGCTGACAAGAAAAACCTCTGACAAGATAATCTACATAGGCATTGCAATAAATAAACAACAAACATCACATAAAGTGAATGGATACGGGGGGCAGAATGTTGAATGTGAAAAATTCATAAATATAACTTGTGAGAAATTAAAATGTGTCATATTTTCAAGAAAAAAATACTTTTATCTTGAACTCCAGGTCATTTCAGCCATTTATGGCCAAAAAGAAATACATGTAAATGTAGCAACATTATTATATTTGTTTTCTTCATCCATTTTAAAATTTCAGCTTAAGATCTACATGTACAATAAGCTTCTTATTAAACCATAACAAACAGAAGGGCTAAAAACTATTTTTTAGACACAATTTACAAGATTAAGACAAAAAAGTAGGTTAGATACCAGCTTGGCATTGATGTACATGTACATGGACAGAATTGAGTTATTGTTCTGACTTATCGGCAGCTGATTAGAAGACATTAAAGACGGTTGCAGAGAATCAAAAACACACTTTTATGGATAACAATTACTATGGTTTATTTCACTGCGACATTTCAACAAGGTTTCACAAGTCGTTATCAAGCATAAGGTTGACAGCCACATCTCCATATTGCAGAGAATAATAGAAAATACTTGTAATTTGAACTTAAGATGCCATAACTTTTAAGTTATGACTTTTTGATTTTTTAAATTTGTGTATCATTTGAAAGACTGTATTTGCTGCTGGTTTTCTTTTTAATAAAATGTTTTCTTCTGATCAGTTAAAAAATAATTCTATCATCCCATATATACATGTATCTACAATATTGTTTCAATTAGTTACAAATACTTCGATTTTGACTTTTACTTTTCATTTAAGGAAGATATTTGGTGATAAAATCTCATTCCAAGTATTTTTTAGTATTCTAGTATATGCCAGCTTGGTTAGAGATCCCATTATCACAATAATTTGCCTACAAATTGCCTTATAACCAATGGCCAAAAGTTATTTCATGTATCATTGTTAGATGCTACTTTCGTACAGCGCAGCGAAATTATGAAGTTCAAGGACTAACATGGAGCATGAGGTGTGACAGGATTAGCCTACCCTTAGGATTATATAAGTTACATCCTAACAGATAACAATTATGCTAGAAAAAAACAATTAGGCTACAATATCCAAACGATTTTAGTCAACCATTTCTACTTCTTTCACTCATGAAGCGGCACTCTCTGTGTGCAGTGCGTGTTGTATAGATGTACATGTAACTATAAAAAAATGTTATTTTAAACGGAATGTGGTCATAACGGCCCCAAGCCATAATGACCAAAAAAGATTTTGGTCAAAACGGCCCTCTTCCTTTGGTCATAATGGCAGTTTTGTTATAACGGCCAAAATATTTAGTCATTTACATCATATGTAGTTATGGGACCAAATTTTGGGGCCATTATATTATGACCACATTTTTAGGCTGTTATGCCATGGTCTAGGGCCATTATAACTGTTCATAACCCTTTTAAACATATTTTTATTGGTGTGCACGATCCCCTTGACTTTTTAAAATTAAATTTGGCAATCATTTTTGATCCAACTCCCTTTTTTCTAACTTTTATTACTGAAACCCCATTTAAACTCATACCTGCAAAAATTTTCATGCATGTTATAGTTATCAACGTGAATGACAATGAGAAAAATTTTTTACGGTTTCACAATCCAATGCCCCAATGGCAATATTCCAAGCTAGGCCTAATCCTAATAATAGTAATTGGCTTTAAAATAAATATTCAATTCATCATAAATATGACACTTGTCGATTGCTTCTGTGAAACAAATAATGATCTATTACCTGCCATATTTTTTGAACGCTATTTAGAGGGGAGCGTGCAAAATGAAGAAAAAAAAAAGAAAAGAAAAAAATTCAACCTGACTTACATGACAATTATGACAGTCATGCCTCTCACAGTCTCAGTCTCAGAGATGCCGGCTGCCAAGTGACGGTTTTTTACGCTAAAAATATTAATTTGGTTTGCTGTAAAACTGTGTTTGTTCATGAAGCTGCCAGTCGGCAATTCCTGTTTGTCTAACAAAATTGAACAAAGCTTAAAGAGCATAACAGATGCGAAATTTATTTGACTTACCCTGACAGTCGCATCCATTGTTGTTTTCGTCTTTCGTGTATTGCACGATGACAGTCTTGAAAATCCAGTCTATTTTACATCAAACTAGATAAATACGGACTGGATAGCAAGTCTATCCATATGGCGCTTAAAAATTTGTGCATAAAATAAACGCTGTATAAATAAACAAAGGTCACGTGACAATGTTTAGCGCCGTAAACTCAACCCCCCTTACTAAAACATAATAATGAGAAATGACATATAACATCTAAAAACATGTCACATTTTCAAACGATTTAGAAATGAATTTATACCACAATTTCAATGCGAGAATTTGCGAGAAGCACCTGTTAAAATGGCGACTTTCTTTGGAGAAATTTTGCCGGTCAGCTCCAGAGCTGTTGAAGAAGAGGATGATGATGATGATTTGCCATCATATTACAGGTTTCCCTTAGTTTTTAATATCCTCCACTGATTTCATCCAATCAAAGTGAGCTTGAGTTACGGAATCTTTAAATACAATAAGCACAGTTCCCCCCCCCCCCCGATGATCGTTGAAAAAAGTCACTCCAACGATTCTATGATGATTAGTTTTTTTGTGTTTTGCAATGTACAGTAAACCTCGCATAAGTCAGATTCGTATAAGTCGGATCTTCACTCAACTCGGAGAAAATCGTTTGGACCCTGTGATCCTGCATGTTTTTCTTATTAAATTTCTGCACGTAAGTCGGATTAACTAAGTCAGATTGGCACTATGTTCACAGCATGCTGTTAAAAATACGTCCCCCTACGCCAAATACAGGGCAGCGCACAAATTTGTGCAACTCTTAAGACGAAACGAAATTGAAATTTTTGAAAAAATTTGATTTTAATTGAGCTAGACAAAGCAATAATTGACTGAAGTTTCTCAGCTTTTCAACGATTCTAATTTTTCCCCACCCCAGCTTACCTAAATTTCGTTTCGTCTTATATGGCCAAGCCACGTAAATCGGTACGCCGACCCACATCTAGACCTCAATGGCATCCGCCAAAGCCTTTAGCAGAAGGGGACAGATTTTTATCAGCATGTTGTGTTGCACATACTGACTCTAGCGAGGTAAGCAAGGTCTCATTTTCTCACTAAAATGTTCCTTTACATTGTTCAGGCGTTCACCGAAACTGAAACACGACCGTTTAGCAGTAAAAAGTTGCCTAGTAAAATTGACTGGGAAACGATTTTATTTCGACAAGGATTCAATAAGACGGTTCCTGAACGTACAGGGTGATAATGAGACCTACGTTCAGAGCCAACTTGGATCTTCACGCAACTCGGATAAAATTGGTCAGTCCATTTAGATCCGACTTATGCAGTAACAATATCTTTTTTTTCTCAAAAATCATTTATTTCAGTAACTCAAAAGTGTGTTGGACAGATGATGTAACAGGCCAATTAAATAAAAATGGAAAGTTGACTTGTTCTGTGTTGATGATAGCAACAGATAATGTCTCATGTGGTAAGCCTTTATATTTCACAGTTTTAGATTTTAACAAGGAATTGTTAATCATGAAATAACATACCCTCTCTTATTTTATAGATATATAAATATATAGTCCAAATTTTCAAAGTCAAAATGCTGAATTTAAATAAACAGATACAAACTTTTTTATCAGACGTTATAAATATGCTGATTATACCTGGGTCCTGGGTACATGCGTATACAGTCATTTACTCTGCTTTGTTAATTGTTTATCAGGTTGCATGTCACTTCTCTGGAGTTTTTTTTCACAATACACTATAAATATTTGATGTAATTTGAAATTTAAACATTGTAATATATATAACCCTAAGAAAAAACAAATTAAGTCTGTTTTCAGTGACCTTCAGTCTGCACTTTTTATCTATGTTGTTTATCGCATGAGACTGGACTACAATGTACATGTACTTTGGAGATGAAGTCAGTTTAACCCTTTAGCACTTAAGACCATCCCAAACTGCCCAAACTAGGATTCCATAGACCTCACCTTCACGTGCATAGTTGTGGTACAGGCAAGGAAAACTATTCACACATGTTAGGTAGTTTGAGGCAATCTAAGGAAGAGCTGTTTTACTTCAGTCCAGACATGTACCTTTTCTCTAATTTCCTTCAAATAACTGGGGTAGTCAATATTTACATGTACCATTTGCTATAGGGTTAATCATGACACCAATGTTAAGATGTTGTCTCCACTGGGACAATTGTGATTTTGTATTTATTTTCTATTGACAGCTTTTCTGGAAGCATATCTGAGATCTGATGACGATACGTTACTTGGTGGTGTGTTTTGTGGAGTTAGTGATGAAGAACAGTTATCATTACAATCAAAAATTAATAAAATAAGTACTATCTACAGAGTTGCAAAATATCCATCTATATTTGTCTGTCAGTGTCAAACAAAAGTCCATCCTGAACAAAGTTTTTCATGGGTTCAGCAGGTACATATACTTTGTGTGACTTATGTAACTACATATTGTATTTTAATCTGGGATTAATAGAAAATATCATCTGTTGATATATTCGCTATTTGTGTTTCAGTGTAATATATGCTTTTAAATGCCCTGATCTCCATTTGAGAGATTTTTAATATTTTGCAAACTACTATAAATAAAAGTTGAAGTTCTAAAAGGAATACAAGTCCAAAAATGATTCAAATCCGTCTAGTATGATATACAAAGATATGTTCAATTGAAAATTTGTCAACATTATGCAGGTGTTATCAAAACAAGCCAGCACTATATTTCACCTTTGCTTGGAACTTGTTTAATCTGATTGAGAAACACAGGCCAGGAAATTTTGTTTCCATTATAATTAAATGATATGTAAATAATTTGACAACATTTTAGTGTCGATTAAGCCATAAAAATTATATATCCGAAAAATGTAATTGATGATCAGTGGCTTTAAATGTCATTTCCAAATTAATTAGAAAATCCCTTCTGTGTGAACCATCGTAAATTTTAAACGGATTTCTTCGATTATGAACAAACTACTTAACTTTGGTTATTATAAACTTACCTGTGTGTTTGTAATGAACTCCCGTTCGATAAAATCCATTGCACAACTAATTATCACAACGATGAGAACAAGTTCTCTCTTGAAAAATTTGAAAATTTACTTGTAATTTCGACAGAGTCGATGTCAACAATGTCTTCGTGACATATTGGTCGAATCCAATATACCTGTTGCGGGGGTTGGTTAACATTGAAAGATAGTTTGACAGCGCGATCATTTTGATCGTATATGGGTTTGGGCGACGAAAAATATCAATTGAAGGCAATTACATAGGAGATTTATATGGAAACCATTGATCGCCAGTCTATCAAATTTTCTTCACAATTAAAATATCACCGATTGCACGGATACTCGTAAAAATAAAGTCATGTATAAACTATAAATATCCTATCTTCTTTATGTTATAAATAATTTAACAAGGATCATGAAGCTTACCTCCGAATTCTCTGAGTGTATTTTTAATTTTATACGCATTCTTTCGATCGAATAATAACCGCTTCAGTAACATCTTTAAGCGTGTTGCGGCAGCCCTCAGCGTGTCTATTGGGTGCCCGTTGGGTATATAATGCTACTAAGCCCGTATGACCCCGTAAGAAGCGGAACATTAATTCTCGATTCGACAGTTTTGACCGAAGTGTGATAAAGCCCGTAAAACGAATGTATAGTTGTGTTTGTGCGGCATGCGTGTTCAAAAGTAAATAATCCCATCCGAGTCGCTAATCAAATAATTAGAACAAAATATTTCAAAAAGTAAAGCTATAAAATTTGCAGAGATTTTACTAGAATGTAAAAGACGGTAAATAAATACAGGAATGCGGGTAGTTATGTGTGCGAACGCTCAAACTCAATGCCAATTGTCGTAGGTATCCAGACCACTCGGACCAAAGACTACTCGGACTAAGACCAGTCGGACCAAAACAAGACCAGTCGGACCAATTAAATTATATTATAAGGCTAGGCAATATGCTATTTATTTATTATTAAATCACAATACAAAGAAGCAAATAATTGTTATACGGAATTCTTATATTTAGAGTTGTTTGGTTCAATTTTGTGTACGGAAAATAAATCAACGATTAGTTTTAAAATTAATTAATAATGGTGTCAAAAAAAAATATCAATCTAATTTTTCTTTACTCTTGCAATGAGACTCGGTATGTCCAGACTTTTGACAGTTTCTACATATACGGGTATACTGTTCTTGTCTGATAGCCTAATTTTACTTTTTCCACATTCGCGGTATCCCCAGTGGTTTCATTCCGTTCTACCCCACTAACCCCTGGGTTACTATATATGGGGGGGGGGGGAGACACGTTTTCAAGTTATCCGCCCTTGATGCGTTAATATAAACAGCACATAATAATACGAAGACCGAACGTTTATATGCCCCTTATTAAACGTGACTACAAGTGTGGTTCTCGATATTTTGCGATTTGGAATACAATTATCAATTTATTCAAACAACACGTAATTATTAGTTCGAGTAGTCATATTAAAACACACACAATTATCAATTTATTCAAATAACACTTTATTATTGGTTCGAGTAGTCATATTAAAATAAACACAATTATCAATTTATTAAAATAACACTTTATTATTGGTTCGAGTAATCATATTAAAACAAACGCAATTATCAATTTATTAAAACAACACTTTATTATTGGTCCGAGTCGTCTTTCTGTTGGGTCCGAATAGTCTTTTTGTATGGTCCGAGTAGTCTTTTTGTATGGTCCGAGTAGTCTATTTGTTTGGGCTGAGTGGTCTATCAGTTGGTCCGACTGGTCTTTGGTCCGAGTGGTCATGGATTCTTGTCGTAATTGTACTTGAATTTCTGTCACCCCTAATACGAAATGATATCTTCCGCAGAGTGACGTAACCATCTTCCATATTGGTATTTTTCTCTGGGAAAAGTTTGTGATATTTCAATTTTTCAAGAGAGAACTTGTTTTCATCGTTGTGATAATTAGTTGTGCAATGGATTTTATCGAACGGGAGTTCATTACAAACACACAGGTAAGTTTATAATAACCAAAGTTAAGTAGTTTGTTCATAATCGAAGAAATCCGTTTAAAATTTACCAAGACTCAGACAGTAATACTAATAATCAATGTTTATCAGTAAACATATTCCCAGTATGAGCAATGTGAGAGTATTTTACTCTAAAAGAATTAGGGAGCCATAGTGGCTCAGTGAGTAAAATGCTGGCTCGCTAACCAAGAGGTCTTGGGTTTTGATCTCCAGCATGGTTTCCCCTTGTCAGAGGTGCAGGACGGAGGGCCTGACAAGGGACCATTTCCTTCATAGCACACTGTATGGCATATGCCTGTCTTCATTAGTCCAGTTGATGCAGAAAAGTGGGATGTCAAATCCCATTTCATTTTAATTGTGAAAAATTGTATCGGGAGCACAGCACTACTTTACATTATTTTTTTTTGTTTCAGATTTTTTCAAACCTAGACTGTACAAATTGTGATATAGTTGTGTTATCTAGTGCTGTTACATGTGACTATAAAACTGATGTTCCATTATCTGAAATAAAAACTCCATTTTTAAAAGCCCTGTACACAGATCAAATGAAGCCATCTTGTATATGTTCAACTTTAGAACAACCTAATATCATTTCATCTTTACCAGCACAAAGTTAGTACAGTGTTATACTCTACAGACAGTGCTCTATATAGATAATAGAAATCATAATTACATTAAACAACCCTCTACATGCACATGTTTGAATATATGTTGGTGTACATGTAAGCTATGTATAAAAATAAGAATCAGTCCTTTTGAGAAATATAATTCACAAATGAGCATCTTATTGAAATGAATAGTTTTGGAAGCCAAGGTGGTCCAGTGAGTAATGCACTGGCTCACTAACCAGGAGGTCCTAATTTTTGATCTCAGTGTAGTCAGAGAAAGTACCTCTTGATTTTCTAGCCAGATTCCACCTTGTCAGTGTCTAGTCGTTCAGATGGGACGGAAAAAATAGATCCCGGGTGTAAAAGAGCTGGTTGGATTTGATGATGTGTTGGCGAAAATGCTGCAGCCCATGCAAAAAATTGCCCTCACAGCACTCTGTGATACCATGGGGATGGCGATAATTAGGTCTGGAACATGCCAGAGATCAAAACAAACTTTCTCATCCAACTCCGGAAGTTGCAACCTTACACAGCACACTGCAAGGCATTTGTCCTGTCTTCATTCACCTCTTTGGTCAAGAAAAGTAGGATGTCATAACACATTTCATTTATCAACCTATTATTATATTAATGATCTGTTTTTCAGTTTTAGCATACAGTCAGATTAATGAACTAAAATCTAGTTTGTTTGTGTGCTATACAGATGTGATACATTTTGACATAACAACAGTGAAAGCCTTTTTACCAGTTTTAAAGTTACCAACCTTAAAGAATTTACAGGTAGATTACTTTTTCATGATAGTTCATATAACTCAAGAGGAAGCCTATATCTCATTGTAATATACAGATATGAGGAGAATAGATTTCAATTTAAGTTGGACTTCGTTATTATTGTAACTTGTTTTACATGATTAACTGTGTTGTGAATTTGGGGTGAAGGAGGCTGAGTTGGTAGCTGAATTGTCTAATGTGTGCACTTTGCAGGGTTTCTCCAGGTCCTGCTAAAGATCCATACGCGCAAGCAATTTATTGAAATAAAATTGGCCCACAGGTTAGTCCTGAAATAACCTGGTTTGTGTGGAGTGGATGTTAAACCCCATTCATCTCTCTGTGTTGTAAATGAAGCCTGACATAGAAACAGTGTCTAGTTCTTTGGATGGGACAGAAACTAGGATCCTGTGTATACTAAAGAATATTTTGATGAGTCTGCAGAAACCCTGTTAAATGGCACATCAAGTTTTCTGTAGTATTAATTGACTTACAAATGAATTATATAATTTGTATGAAGGGGCACAGTTGATCTCTTTACATGAGTATATTTGTTTTTTTTTATTACAGATTAATCCTGATGCAGAGAAGAAATTAATACAAATAATGAAACGAAATAATGATGGTTCATTGTTATATTTATAAACATAATATATCGTATTTAATGTAAATAAAACAAGTGTCTCTTCATATTTTGAAGTTTATTCTGATGGATAAAAATTTGGACTAATTTCCCAGTAAGGGATATTCTAATAATACTTGTACTGCTCATGTACATTGAAGTGGTCCTATGATTTGCTCTTGTGTGCCCAGAATTAAACTAGGCCATTATTTTGTTAGTGAGGGTTAACATCGCAGACAAATGTTTTCTTAGAAACTTGCCAGAAGAGCCTGTTGTGATTGAGAGTCTAGTCCAGTGTAGGGCAGGTATTGGAGGATGAAAAGGGTAATTTGTAGCCACTATTCCTGGAGTTAAAAAGTGCAGTAATGCCTTCAAGAAACAGTGTCAACTAATGTGTTATAATAAGAAGATAATAAAATCATAACATTATAAAACTGTATTTCAAAACATGATTTTATAACCTGATCTATCAACAATAGTTTCTTTATAAAATCATATTTAATATAACATATACAATGAAATTTACAATAAAGCCACTTGACATTTATAATAAAATAAATAAAATGATGGTGTGCATATTTATACTTCTAAATGAATGTCAACAAGAAACACAAGCGGAAATGGGTTTTGATTCACTGTAGCTTACTTGTAATTAGAATCAGAAGTAGAAAATATATATAATGCCCTTAAAATACACTCGATTTGAACTGCATACATGCAACAATAATGATAATTAGTGAGTAGGGCATTTCAAATGGGGTTTAATGTCCACTCAACAAAACTAGGTTATTTAAGGACTAACATAGTACAATTTTATTTCAATGATTCACTTGCATGTAGGAAGTCTTTAGCAGTGGAAGGAACCAGAGAAAATCCATGATGTCAGGCAGACGAGCCTACTCATTATCAGGTACAAAATGCGTGATCAAACCACACCAATTGACTCAATGACTGACCTTATGATCTAAAATGAACATTAGGCACCACTCCTATTTCAAACTACACTACTATTTGTACTTGTTACATCTGATTTTCTCCTCTGTCAATTGTGGACAAAAGAAACTGAAGTGTGAAATGGAATGACTTCAAATGAATTATATTATTAGTCATTTATTTTACAATCACAATATACATTTATGCAGGTAGGTCTTACTGTATAATATTTAAAACAGGATTTATTTCAATCAATCAACTGATTATTATGACAAACAATGTCTATTTATTTAAAACTATTAGGATTAATGTCACACTAAGCTGGCTTAAATTTTGTAAATTTTGAATGCATAGATTACATAATTATTCCAATACTATTTGTTTATATCATAATAACAATTGTCTGAATCTGAAGGCGTGATACCAGTACAGAAATACCATCAATGAAAGCAGATTGTCCTTAATATTTATGAATGGAAAAATGGGTCTCTGCTCTTCTATCACCATGATAAAGATATGAATTACAAATGAATATAATTGTACATACATATAAATATACATGTACTTACAAAAAAAACAAGGAAAATTGTATACATTTCATTTTAATTTTCACTTCTGAAATCATCCAACCGTTGACCCATGTAATAGTGATGGACAGATTCATATTTTAGATTTTATAGACTAGTTTCTCTGGTTTAGATGATCATTTCTTCACTACCTCAAGCAATTACATAACATCTGAGAGACTGAGTTCTGCATTAGCATACCATATCTGTCATATAGTAGCTATGGGGATAATATATGCTGTAATCATTATTACTTTATAAATAAAATTTCACTTCAAATTCTCAATGCACAGAAAGCAAGACATTGTTTAACATTATTTAACATATATATTATTAAAAAAAATTCAACCACCTATTGTTTTCATGTATTCAAACAGTATATTTAACATCATTCAAATTGTAATTAAAGCTGCTCATCATCATTTGCAATTTTTTCGGACAATATCTAATTTTTCACAGCTTAATCCACACTACAATCAATAATCTATCATTTAATAAAGGAAAGAAAATCCAAATATCAATGGTAGATAACCCCCTGCTTGAATTCAGTCTGATTGAAAAAGAGGCCAATCAAAATATTTTAGCGAAGGTTATTTGGCTTGTTTTGACCATATTAAGCCTGGGACAGACAAGCATATTTTTTTGCCTGATCGCACTGATTTAAATTCAGCAGCAATTTTTTTTATGAACGATCATGAACGGCTAGATGTAGCGATCGTCTGGAGAGCGTGGCCCACTCCACGAGTAAATTACGTCGATATCATGTGATCTCAATGATGTCTCCGATTGGCTCAACAATGTATGCTGAACATGGACAGATGAGCGGGTGAATGGTTCACCAAGCAGAATAATTGTTGCCGTGAACGGCACACAGGCGATTTTTTAGAACAATTTTTATAATCGGCACAATTGGGTGAGAAAATACGCTCGTCTGCCCTAGACTTTATGTTATCCCATCTCTAGAGGGTGCCAAATTTTGACCAATTTTCAATTTATTATATCTTTGTAAACACAGAACAGAATTGAATATTTTTTCACTGATATTCCTCTTAGTGATTCAATTTATACAAGTTTGCAAAGGTCAAAATATCCCTAAAATGACAATCAGCGACTTTAAAAGATTAGGCCATTTCGCAATATTAAGGCTTGTGACATACATCTTATTCTGTAACTTGAGTTACCTGACTTTGTTGTACAATATGTTAACTGAATGATGACTGATGATAGCAATGATCAGTTATCTGTTATTGCAATTATTCAATACATCCAGACTACTGACACATCTTTCAACTTGCAAAATTTTTGATAACAAAGTCAGGTAATACAGCACGACATATAGACTACCAGTCGTTGAGATCTTAGTAATAATGTCATGTTTATTCTGTTTTTTCTAAAGCATTAAGACGTTCTATTAATGGTGGATGGGAATAATGCCATGTTGAGAATAACCAGTCTGATATAGGAAATCCCAAGTTGTCTTTATTCAGTTTAATCAATGCTGATCGCAGAGCTGTAGCTCTCTGTAATTTCTTGGCAAAAGCATCTGCTTGAAATTCAAATTTCCTACTTAAAGCTGTCATACAGAATGACAAAATCTGAAAAGAAAAAAAAAATGTTTTGATATTTTTGTGAATCCAGTAGAGTAGTGCTAACATAAATATTTGAAAATTGTAATTCAAATTGTTTTTCTGGGACAAACCAAATGATTTATCAGTGCATTTCTGACCCAGTCCTATGGACCCAAGGAACATTTAAAGTATGTTGGAACAAATTTGTTGAAATAATTCAAGTTAAGTTTCAAGTTTCTTAATTTGCACATTAAAAGCTGTAAAATGCTTACAGCTGCATGAGAAACAGGAACTATATGTTCACCTTAAAAGCAGATAAATAGCAAAATGAATGTTATAAAAACCTACCTCATTATAAGGTGAGAAAACAAACTGGAATATGATTAGTAGACCAATCAATGTTGGTTGTGTATTAAAGCCAAAAGCTGTAAACAGTTCTTTACGATTGATTAACATAGCAAACATCATAAAACATAGAAATGTATTCACCTGAAAAGAAAATTGCAAGATTATGTTTCATATGAGATTTTTACATTATGAATTTATTTCAAATTGTCATATAAATTGCATCAGTATGTTTTCTGATGTTTTATTTACAATGAACACTTGGTTCATGTAAATAATCACTACCCTAGTTTCTGGGAAAAAAAATGAAATAAGTGATATAATTCATATCGATATATGCCTGTACAGTCTGAAGCTATTGTTTCAGTTCTCCAGAGTCTCTGTATCGTAAGACTGAATACTAGTACTTGGGGGAGCCCCAGCTACTTATGTTACTTGAGCAGTTTGGGGCAATCTCAGCAACCAAAGCGTTAAAGAGGGAAAAAAATTAATTTTTTAAAAACTCTTTACATGAATATGCTTCAAATATTCAGAAAAGATCAATTTACCTGGCTAATAACAAGATTTTTAAGAACATGATTTAGTTTCCAATGTCCTAATTCATGAGATAAAACAGCCAAAACTTCTTCATTATTACAACCAACTTTCTTCCTATCTTTAGCTTCCGTCTTCTCTTCATCATCTTTTGTTGTTTTATCATCTTCTGATTTCTCTGTAACTTCATCTCCCTTGGCTTTATCTTCTGACTATCAACAGAATATTATTTATCATTTTCTTTTAATACAATGAATTCATAATTCGATCAGCCATTAAATGTATATCACAATAATGTATGGACATTTGTTCAAACTAGTGTTCTAGATAAATTCTATGAAATAAAGATGTTGATTTAACTACCAATAATGTGAATGAGTATCTTTAAAATTCTAAGAACTTGTTAAATATTATTAATGCTTATTGTAATTATCAAATTGCTTGATTAAAGTAATAATCACAGATTGATAACAACACTCTAAATGATACAAAAACATAGCAGAAGGCAAACATTGTTATGGTAGACCAAGGTTTTGGCCATCAACGGTAAGGCTACCAAGGCTAAATAGGTATTAAATGGTGCTATTACTAGAGAGCGAGAAAGAAATGTGGTTTAATATCCACTCAACATAAACCAGACTAACATACAGTACAATTTTATTTCAGTGAAGACACAGAGAAAACCCACAAAGTTAAGCGTGACCTCCACGCCTTTTCACATAGAAGCTTTGAAACGAAACCACACCACTTGACTCAATAACAGATATTATGATCGAAAGATAACGTCTTAGGCCACTCGACCACCCAACTCCCTCCTGGTGCTATAAGGAGCTAACTGGATGTAGCGAGAGACTAGCCTTATGAAATAGAACATGCTTGAATAAGAAAACAAGAAGAAATTCGTCTACGGATTCGACAAATGGCATCACAGATTCATGAGACAATCTCACAGACAAATCTCATTGTTTAAACCCCCTCTTTTAGGTTTTGTCAGAGATTGATTGTGGTTTACTATTCATACCTCTTCTTTAATACTATCATCTGTTTCTTTCTTTTCTGTTTCATCTGTTTTCTTATCATCATCAGGAAGAGTGAAATCTTCTAACAAAGTATCAAATAATACAATTCTTTTATTCTTAAAAAATCCATAAAAATAAGCATTACTGTGAGAAGATCTCTTCGAACCTGGAATAAGAAAATTATACATACATTATGCAAGAGCTAAATCTGTTGCAGGTCTTTCTTTATGCCTGAAATGTTATCTAAATTATTAATTAGACATTAATTAACTTATCCAGACCTTAATCAACTCTCGATGCCATCGTTAGCATGCGATTTTTGGAAATCGTAAAAATGGATAATCGAGACATTGTTTTTTATTGTACCGACTTTAGTAATGATGATCGATGATAGGCCTAAAATTGAATCGCTAATATCTCGGTTCAGAATGGAGCAATTTAACTGAAATTTTCAGCGTATTGTATCTATTTGTTTTTAACTATTATAGTGATAGTGAGAACTGTCAATTCTTTATCTAATCTCCCATAATGCCCCCTCAATATCTTAATACAAGAAGTTGAGCTTGTGGTTCATATCTCAAATAAAACTTTTATCAATGATGAGAAAGTTTGGTTTAATATGAGTAGTTTCATTACGGTGTTCTGTTTAAAAGATGTTTCCCACAATTCCCTCCAACACTAGAGTAAAGCACGATTAAACAAGCCATTTCACTGAATAATCTACCACTCTAAACAGGTTATTTGAAAATTCTTCCTGATCCAACTTTTGTAAAGACAAATTCAATGAAATTTGTTCTATGAAAAACCCCAAATGGAAATAGGATCTGTGTCTTAATCAGATTTTAAAGCAGGGTATGTGAAAAAAAACTTGCTAAGATTAATATTAATCTTTTACTGTTCTAACAAATTGTTATAATCTCATGTTTCCTCATCAGTTTGGTTAGTTTGGGACCAACACTTTACTGATTAATATAATAGGATTTTTCAGTGACAACCATGGGTCATAAAAGATAATTGCTTTAAATGTAAATTTAGACATTTTGGGGTATTAATTTGTTTTTCTAAAAAGTATATTTTGACATGGCCTTATTTGGTTTTCTGGCCTTAGTTAATTTCTCTCAATCTGATTAATACATACCATCAACAACGTAAAGTTTCTTTAAAGGGAAGTTTATACTTTCAGCTAACTTTTCGATATTCCTTCGTAATTCTCCATCAGGTAAAGGTGTAAATTTATCAAACAGTGGTGCTATATAATCAGCATAGATTGTCACTAATAACTGTAATAAAATATAAATTTATCAAACAGTGGTGCTATATAATCAGCATAGATTGTCACTAATAACTGTGATAAAATATAAATCTATCAAACAGTGGTGCTATATAATCAGCATAGATTGTCACTGCAATAAATATATCAAATAGTGGTGCTATATAATCAGCATAGATTGTCACTGCAATAAAATATAAATGACAAGAGTTGATATCTACATAGTTGCAATCCTTATAAATTCAAAATAAAAAACATTCTAGAAAAGGTGACACAATATACTCCTTAAGATATCATATATAATTGGATTTCTGTTTCAATTACTTGTACCAATATATTTTGAAACACACAGTAACCTATTTAAAGTCCCTGATTGTCATTTGAGGGTTTTTTCTGTGATATCACTTCTGTGGAAGCAGACATTAAATAAAGCTATTTCACACACACTTGAGGGATTTTTAATCTCTTGTAAATTACAATATTGTGAAAGTTGAATCTCTAAATGGAATAAGGTTAAATGTTGTTCCGTTTACCAAGATATTAAGAAGAATTGAAAATTTGTCAACATTCATCATCCTCTGTCAACGATATAAACAGGATATTGTTAAAACAAGCCAATACCATCTATAATCTCTGCTAAAATATTTTAAGCTGATTGAATTCAAGCCGAGAGATTATCTTGTGTGGATATCTTGATTTAGTTTTCTGTATGGAAATAGATTTTAGTGTGGATAAAGCCGGGAAAAATGTGATCAATGGAAATAACCATCAGTGGCTTTATCACCAATATTAAATAGATGTAAACATGTGTTTTTACATACCAGTGACATAACTAGGGTAAACAGCCACACATATATAAAGAAATAATCTCCTCCAATTTTAATAATATATAATAATGAGGCTGTAATTGGTAAAGCTATACACTGCATAACAACAATCTTCTTTATCTGGTCTTTGAAGAAAAATCCCAATGTCTGGAATAAGTAAATTGGAAAATAAATTCCATTAACTGAGGTTTCTGAACCTAATTAAAATGTAAAAGAAGCATTTTCTCTTGTACAAAATTCTGGGGGGAATTCACTTCACAGCACATACCAAATGACATTTTGTCAGATCTCAGAGAAAAAAAGACATGTATATGAAATTAATTTGTACATAAAGGTGGCAACAAGCGTGATAAGAACTGTATCCAACCACGGTATAAAGATTTAATCCAGAAAGCCCTTGATTAACTTTTCATCCATCCTACCCAACGATATCATCAGGATCCATTCTTTCCTGCGTTGTAACAGGAATTCTTCCCCCACCCTCTCTTTAACATACTTTTAGTATGGAGTTTTAACCTTGTGGCAATCTTGGGAGTTAAATATATTCTACATAGATAGATAGTTGGTATGTTACTAATTTGACTTCATTACAGTAAAATATTTTTACATTGTACACAAGAATTTCACTAATGCATGTTGTAGGTAAAACGTGTTGAAATACACATATGCACATAACCCTGTATTCAGCTATTAATTAGCATGCATTCAAAAATTGATTATTTATAGGCATGAAATATCAAGAAATTCTAAATTCAAATAGTTTCCAGGGAAAATGAAGAATTTCCAGAGAAAAAAACACTTAATGTGTCAAAAAAAAGGGTTGTTAAATTATCTCTTTTCGTTAACAGATTTATACACCCCAAACAAAAGAGAGAAAGTCATTTTGAGACTAACATAAAGTTCAATTTCATTTCAGTAATTTGCTTGCATGCAGGGGTCTTTAGCTGAGGGAGGAAAATGGAGGACTTGGAGATAACCCATAAGGTTGGATAGGCGACCTTACTCCTTGTCACATACAAGCGGGGAATTTAAACTCTGCCACTTGACTCAATGACAGACATCTTTATCTGACATGCACATGTTAAACCATTCAGCCACGGAAATGCCCCTCAGGAAATACATGTAAAAGTGACCCATGGATGAAGGCAGAGAGATATTACCCACCCTTAGGGATATATTTATATAGCTGTAGTATAATTACCTGTTTGTTAAAGCCATGTTTTTCTTCTATAACAAATGTACTATACAGGGACCAGGGTAATGATGTCACAACAGAAAATAAAGTTGCTAGTAATGTAAATACTATTGATTGAGTAATCTGCAAAATCAAGCAATAAATTAATTACAAAACATGAGATGTTATCTTCTTTATAGAACTGGTTGTTATTTGGACTATAACTGGTCCTAAGCTGGTTTCAAATTCTACAGCAGTACATAATTAAAGATCTTTTTGGTTAATAACACACACGTCTTTCGATTTTGGTCATTCCATGTTGTAAAAAGTTTACATATAAAACCCAATGTTCATGAAATATCTGTCCTGCCGGATTATGACAAATCATACAGTCTATTCTTTTCCAAACTCTTACAGTTATACAAATGTATGTGTTATGTACATACTACATCCACAGAAAATAATACTGGTACCCAAATTCCAATCCAAAAATATTACAGGATTCAAAACCACATAATTGTTAAAAACATAGAAGTTATTTGTTCTTTTCAAATGTACAGTTTAAATTGATTAGTCATATACTTTACTTACCTCATATTCTGGACCATAATCATATCTTGCCAAAATTTTACCAGATTTCGTCCACAGCCAAGGTAGTCCACCAATTAATAATATAAACTAAATTATTGAAATTAAAATATGTTTTGAGATCATTTTACAAGAGAACACAATCAAATCATGAAATGAAATGCGGTTTAACCTCCGACTCAAACAAATCATAGTACAGAGTAGTATTAAAAAAAATAACAATTTTTAACATTAAAAATGTTCTTTCTATAGATAACCAATTTTATCACTCAATTCTACAGTAGATATCGCTTGAGTGATTACTTTCATATGCTACTAATAAATGAAATCTTCTACTCATCTTTTGTTTTGTTTTTTTACATTAAATATCACCTTGTGTTGATATTTTTTGATATCAAAATTGACTCGTAGGAGATTTTCTATTTGTGTTCCACTATCAACACAGCAAGTCAAAAATTAAACCAAATTAACATAAGTAAACAAGCTGACTTCCACTTAACCTTTCAGAACAAAAATTTAATCTTGTCCCATCTCTAATGAAATTAACACATCACATCAACTCTGTTCAATAATTTACATATAGCTCTGCTTAAACTTGAATCTTGTATGTTCAATGGTTTACAAAATATATACTTTTGTATCTTTTTAGATACTTATAAGTTCTTTCTTTACAGTACACACAAAAAAAAAAAATTAAAACACCAAACTGACAGATAAAAGCTTAAATAAGGAGGTTAAGACAATTCACAATCCAAACCCTTATTTGGAAAGCATATTATTTTACTTAATTCTTCAAATCAATGTTGTTTAACTTTATGGTCTTTACAAGTTTATATTGGTTCCTATTGATTTCACAATGCAACATTTTTTGTACAAGTCAAAACTACATTCAACAGATCAACATATATGAACAGCTGTGACAGTGTAAGCCCTCTGGGCAGTTGACTTGATGGGATATGTATCATGGAATGCTCTGTGAATTTATCTGACATGCTTTAAAAATATCAATGAATCTCTGGAAAATATGAATTTCTGTGTCTGACATAATGACACCAGTTGTATTGGGCATTAGTTTGATAATGCCAAAATTTGAGCCTGACCTTGCTAGTGATGAGATGCCAAGACTTAGTTCAATTTTGACAGCTAAATATAGGACACTGACTTTCTTATCTATTATCACACTTACAGTAGACTCAATCTGTGAATACAAGTTCGACCAAAACCCAAAATTACTCTTATCTAACCCATACAATCTGGCTTTTTCAAATGTTTCTTGGTCTAAGACTTTCTCTAATTCATTAGGTACAACTGTTGCTGTTCTGTAAATCTTTCTCTAAAACAAAAATAAAGTATGGTAAATTATTGGCTACAGAAAAAGGGGTCTATTGTCTGAACCATCGTAAATTTTAAACGGATTTCTTCGATTATGATTATGATCAAACTACTTATCTTTGGTTATTGTAAACTAACCTGTGTGTTTGAAATCAACTCCTGTTAAATAAAATCCATTGCACAATTTAATATCCCAAAGAATAAAAAAGTTCTCTTTTGAAAAAATTGACGTATTTTCTTGTATTTTTGACTGAGTTCAAGACAACATATGGCTTTTCTCCCGTGTTGGACGAAACCATTGAATCTGTTGCGGGGTATGACAGAGATTTTGACAACCACGTGTTGCAATCACAACAAAGCTTTCTCATTTCGATCGTTTGAGTTTGGGCAACAAAAAATATCAACTGAAGACAGTTTTGACTGTATTGTGATATGGTGCAATATATATTCTTTATCAATTATTTTTTTTTTTAATTTATTGTAAATAATACTTAAATCACACCATAGCCCCCTACTTTCAATAGAAGGCTTAATCTCGCTTTAACTACATACACCTTATCAGATGTTGTAAAACTCATAGTCGTTGCTTCAGGAACATGCATATAGCCCCATAATTTTAAATACCCTGTACATGTACGTTAATCATGTATATATCAGATTAAAGATATTCATGGGTAAAATTTAAGACCCGTAAAACGAATGTCATTGTTTTTGTGTCGTATTTGTGTTCAAAAGAAAATTCATTCGCCCGACTCTAATAAAAAATATGATTAAACAAAATATTTCAAAAGGTAAAAGCTATAATCTTTGCAGAGATTTTACTAGAATGTTAAAGATAGTAACAAAATAAAGGAATACGGGCAGTTATGTGTGTGAACGCCCAAACTCAATGCCGAGCCGGGATTACACAAAACTTGAATTGTCGTAAAAGTACCACAAACCGTGACATCTTGTAACCCCTTTATACAAAATGATCTCTCCCGAAGAGTGACGTAATCAGCTTCCATTTTGGTATTTCTCCATGTCAAAAGTTTGTGAGAATTCAATTTTTCAAGAGATAACTTTTTTATTCGTTGGGATATTAAATTGTGCAATGGATTTTAATTAACGGGAGTTGATTTCAAACACACAGGTAAGTTTATAATAACCAAAGTTAAACATACATTATGCAAGAGCAAAATCGGCCTATTGCAGGTCTTTCTTTAGGCCTGAAATGTTATAAAAACCATTAATTAGACATTAATTAACTTATCCAGACCATAATCAGCTCTCGATGTCAAGGCTTGCCTGCGATATTTGTTGGATTGCAGTCCAATTTGCTGCAAAACTTTCCTTCGTGATTAACAATTAAATGGATAATCAAGACTATTAGTTCTGTCATATCGGCTTCAGTAATGATGATCGAGGCTAAGCGGAACTTTCATCCGCTTGGTTCTTGTGACATAGTGGATCAATTTGACTGAAATTTTCAGCAAGTTGCCTTTACATTATGTAGTTTTTAACTATTATAGTGAGAACTGCCAACTCGTTATCTAATCTCCCATAATGTATCTTTAAGTATTTTTTAACAGCGTGTTGTTTTGCTCGTACTGGTTCTATCGAGGTAAGCAAGGTCTTATTTTCTCACTAAGGTGTTCATTTATATTGTTCAGGCAGGCACGGGGACTGACACGCGACGTTTAGCAGTAAAAAGTTGCCCAGTAAGATTGACTGGGGCAGATCTCAGTTTCGACAAGGATTCAATAGAACTATTAGAAGAGTTCCTGCGTACGGTACAGGCCGAGTGAAATGAGACCTACGTTCAGAGCTGAACTAGGAATTCAGGAGATTCGGAGGATATTGTGTTTGTCCGTCTTCATTAGCTCGGTTGGTACACAAATGCAGGATATTAAATCCCATTTCCTTTTCAGCATTCCATGGCTTAAACATTAGGTGGCTACGACTACGTATTGCCCGACTGAGCCGGTGAGGTCTTGCGAGTTTTCAGGCATTGCAGACTGCTGTTGAGACATTGACGGGCAGTTTAACAGAAGTGGTTACCTGTCGATAAGATAAATACGTCTCCCATCCATAAACGATCCATAGAAAAACTAATACCGATCGAAATATTTCAACATCACTAATTTCCATTATGTCAATATGGTAATAAACAAAATATGTGATTATAAATGATGATAAAACAATTTTTGCACTTCCACGCTCGCCTGCAGAGTTATCAACAGGGGCAGATAACTATGTTTATTATTGCTCGATTTACCAGTAGTAAAAATGTAAAACGGAAAAAGAAAAAAAAAAGAAGAAAATTAAAAGATAAAATAGGCCTACAGATTGCCAAACAATGAAATATACTCCCAAAAAACTTTTTATTAGGACCGAAATTTATGAATAATAATAATTGTCACAATATTTTAGTTGTCGGCAAAACAACTAATCACCGCCGAAATTAACTTATAAACACCAGAATATACTTACTAACACCGGAATTCACTGGAAATCACTTCGAAGATATCAGAATTCGCCCGCAAGAGCTTCGAACTATTTATTTATATTTTGCATTACTTAGAAACACTGAAAATCCCGAAATTCACTTCGAAAACATATAAACACCGGATTTCACTAATATTTTGCATCAATATAAATCACCTACAATCACCGGAATTCACTTAGAAAACATATAAACACCGGAATTCACTTTCAAATAATAAATTACTTTAAAACAAAGAAAATCACCGGAATTCACTTTGAAAACATATAAACACCGGAGTTCACTGTCAAAATATCGGATTGGAACTTAAGACCTTCCTATTTACAAATAGTTGCATTAATAATAAATTACTTCAAACCACCGGAATTCATTTTGAGAAAATCGGAATTCGCCCACAAGACAATTGTATTTACTTATATTTTGCATTAATATTAATACTATAGAAGTAAAATAAATAAAACGACATTTTCAGGTGGTCAACTAAATGTAGTTGCCTCCCTTATTTAACAGTTCCCTTAAAATGGCACCTCCTTAAAGGGACAATAACACTCTTGATGGCCTGACAGCTCCAGTAAATAAATATTAGCCTTATGCTAAGTATTAGATGTTTAAGTGTCCTACCAGTTGTGTAAATTATCCATTACATCCTATTTTACTTGTCCAGAGGGTTCGAAAATATTTTTAAATCCAAGTCACATTTGAAAAGGTTTACGTTAGGCTTTTCAAATGATTTAGTTGAATTTTTCCAATTTTTTTAAATTAGGTGTGTTAAGATGAAATTTGTATCATCAATTAATTGGAATACTGTAAAATAGTACAATTTGTTGACCAGAATAAAAATTGGGACATATTATTCTGTTACAACAAGAGTGGTATTGAGCCTTTAAGGGAGAGAGAGAGAGAGAGAGAGAGAGAGAGACGTACACGCGACCCGACTCCTCAGTAGAGTCGCCTAACCAACCTCGTGGGTTTTCTCCGGGCCCTCCTCCCCCCCACTCATGCTAAAGACCCCTATACGCGCAAGCGAATTGTTGAAATAAAATCGAACCATGTGTTAGTCCCTAAATGACCTAGTTTGTTTCTCTCTCTCTCTCTCTCTCTCTCTCTCTCTCTCTTGTCTATTTCAAGATTCCAAAAAATAGAGCCACACGCCCTTTTAAAAATGGAATTAATTACAATATTTACGGACATATTAAGCTCTGAAAGTGGCTGTTCTTAGGAGCATAAAATCTCTACTGAAAAGAAAAGTCTCGAGAGAGCCAACAGACCCACCCGTTTTGATTATATTAGATGGTTGAAAATGCATAATGCTTACTCTCACGCAATCTGATTAAAACACAGATCCAATTTTCGTTTTTATAGTTCAACATTTCGATTTTACTTGTCTTTACTACATTTGGATCTGGAACACTGATCGATATGATAATATATCAGTGATCTGGAAGCGTTGTAATTTAACTCGTGCTCTGCTTGAAATTGGGGGTCAGCCAATCAAATGGTCTGTCGAATCGAGCGTTTGACCTTTTTTGCGCGGAACTGTGGGTAGACATTAGCGGCACACTCGGCAAACCTCGGCAGATTCCGGTGTCGGGGTTTGCAGAATGATTAGCGGCAATAGAAATCAAAACAAAGCAAAAGTAGATAAAAAATATATGGCGGTCGCTAATTGCATGGTTAATCGAATGACTGACGTAATCGGGTCAAATGTCGCTTGCTTGGTACCTGACGTCATAGAACGTGAACTCCCACTATAACTTGTGAGTTAGACCTTGTTCCAACTAAATTCCTCCTGGATTACGTGAGTGTGCTTCTCCCAGTCATTACGTGTATCATTAATAAAAGCTTGGAATGTGGCGTTGTTCCCCAAAGTCTCAAAGAAACAGTTGTTAAGCCTCTTTTAAAGGAACCTGATCGTGATGTTTCCTCTCTATCAAACTACCACCCTGTCTCCAATTTATCTTTTGTTTCTAATATACTGGAGAAGGCTGTAAAATATCAACTTATGGGCCATCTGATTCATCATGATCTTATGGATGAATTCCAATGAGCATATCGTGTTGGACACAGCACTGAAAAAAATGATATAAGAATGTCTGTGGATGCTGGAAGTATCTCCACATTGGTCCCCTTGGACTTATCCGCAGCTTTCAACACGATCAATCATGACAGGCTGCATGGGTGGCTTAAATATGACTTTGCTCTAGATGGTATGATATTAAATTGGTTTGATTCATACCTTACTAATAGACGCCAATCTGTTCTAGTAGATAAAATGAAATAAGACGACAAGATTCAGTTAAACTGTGGAGTTCCACAAGGATCAGTCCTTGAACATGTCCTTTTTGTGATGTATACTAAGAATTTTGGACAGCTAATCGATAAACATGGTCTAGCAGATGATACACAGCTGATTGCAAATTACTCCATTTCAAAAACTATTCCATCCCCTAATTATTCTGAAATCAAATTGTGTACATGTGACATTAAAGATTGGATGACAAGAAACATGTTGAAATTAAATTACAATAAAACACAATGTATCTTAATTATTTGGTCCAAATGATGTGGTTGTAGGAGATGCAATAATTGCACCATCAGGCACTGTGAAAAATTTAGGGTCCAATCTAAGCATATTACCGAAATTTGTGGAAAATGCCGTTTTCAGCCCAGGAACATTGGCCATATAAGACTCTTAATTAGCCAGGAAGCAGCTGCTATACTTGTATGTTCTTTGGTATTCTCAAGGATTGACTGCTGTAACAGCTTGTTAGCTGAAACATCTAGTGCCTATATTAAAAAATCTTCAACTTGTGCAAAATACTGTAGCTCTAAGTGTTACTAGTTTATCAAAATACTCTCATATAACTTATGTTCTGAAATCACTCCATTGGCTGCCAATAAATGAAAGAACCATATTTAAAAAAATCCTGTCCTTGACTTATCAGTGTGTGAATGGCTTAGCTCCAAAATACTTATCCGACCTTATGCCAAATACATCTTCCCTCGCGTAACCTCCGGTCAAACTGACTTCAGGAGTTGTGTTGCCCAAGGTGGAAGGTAAAATCATTCGGATACAGTTTGTGCTCAGTGAATGCGCCTAAACAGTAGACCATTAAATCATGAAATCATCTCAAACTCTTTCTTGTTTTAAATCAAGACTTAAACAGAGTCAATAAAATTAATATAACTGTATGCGCTGTGAGCATGCCTCTATGCATGGCGTACTAGCGCTATATAAATGTACATATTATTATTATTATTAAAATTGACGCTAATTCGCGCATATTCAGGCCGGACGCAATACGAAGCCAACGACCAACGTGCCCATATCAGTATGGGCGCCACATAAAGCCGAGAGACAATGGTTGGGCGCCCACGATGAGGTTGGTGGGGCGCCCAACCAATGTCACTTGGTTTTCTGGGCGCCTCGCCAATCATGTCGTTATATATGAGCCCCCAACCCCCAAGTGGTAAGGCGCCTCATAATGACCCATACGACTACCACCAAAACTGATCGGGCGCCCAAAACGGCTTGATCTGTGGGGTGCCTTATCCCGGAAGGGCTCCCATAATGACATGATAGTTGGGGCGCCTTATAATGACAATATATGATTGTCGGGCCGCTCATAATGCATAAAGCTGGGTAAGATTGGTTGGGCGCCCACGACTTGATCAAACGGCATGATTTGTGGGGTGTCCATCCCGGAGGGGCGCCCATAATGCCGAGATTGGTGGCCGTCCAAGACGAGATCATGGGCGCCCATAATATAATTGGCGGGGCGCCCATTATGCCGATTGAGATTGATTAGTCGCACTCTAACCAGATTCCGAACTTTTCGTTTTTCTCATAAATTATTATAGGTACGTTAAAGTCGTATCCCTTCCTTCAAAGTTTTATAATGTTCATATCAACATATCATAATACGCCATTATCGCAAATTCAACCTCACAATTGAAATTTTCCGTCACTTTCAGTGCAAACCCTATTTTCCAAAATTTTCTGCGGGCAGAGCACCCTAGACCCTCCGAAGGCAGGTGTATCCACGGTACCGTCCGCTGTGGACCGCTAAGTGTATGTACATCGGCGTACCCAGAAGCCCAATCGGCGCCCCAGAAGCCTTTGCCCCCCCCCCCAATTTTGGGCTAGCTACAGGCCTGATATTCTCACTATTTTATGTTTCCAATGGTCGCCAGCTGTTACAGCCCAGTGAGATACTAGCTTTATATTTTTCTCTACGTTTTGCCTTTGCAAATTCACTAACCAGGTAAGGAAGTTGACCTCATTAGTCATATCTACAAGTGTAAAATCTCGAAAATGGCCATTTTTGCCTTTGAAAATGTGATAATTTTAATATTTTCTCTTAATATGTCAACGATTATACTCCATTGCAATATGTCATCTATTTCATGTCGCTTATACAATAAAATCATTAATGCTACTCTCTGTTTCATTGTAAAATCTGCAAATTACATCCAGTAAGAAATAGGAGATATAATCTGATGACGTAAATAATTTGAAAAAAATATTCCTAAAACAATATATCCACGTGTTTATTAATCTCAAAATAATAGGCAAAAACAATTGTGTGACGCTGATATTAGTTGTAAATAGGTGATGTGATGTAAACTGTACACTATGTTAACAGATGGTTGTCGTCTGTACTATGAGTGTACTCTCGAATCATTTCAAGGTGTAATACTTTGACATACTTTGGTTGAACCCAATTTAAAAAAATAAATAAATAAAGATGCAAATGTTTGGAGAAGTTGTTATTATCAAGTTAAATAACAGTTAAATTTGAATCTGACAAAAGCATCCACTATCCTAGATTAGTCCATTGGAAATAATGGCTACGGTATTGTTTCTGTCAGCGTAAATCATATATTTGGTTCTTTATACCCCCCATACCCTCTCCCATGTCAGCTTAAAAATGGAGTTTAAGACCATACACGCTGAACCGTTATTTTATTAAAATTATTCAAATGGAAACCATTCGACTGTTGAAAAAATGGAACGCTTTTGAGAGCGCTGAATCACCGCCCTCGTGATGGATTATAATCTAAAGAACGGCTTAGATCCAGTTTGAAGAGGTCGAATTTATTTGTGGTACTGCGTGACATTTTTTACTATAGTGAATAACAACCGTTATCCATTAAATAGTAATAGCTCGTGGGGCCCCAGTATTGCTAAGGTGAGCTCACAGACTTGTTACCGAAGCTGGCCAGATTCTAATCACATGGATGGCGACAAATTGAAAAAGTTTGTCGTAACAATACAAAATGTCGTTGCCAATATTTCACTTACTTGTACCGGTACCAATACAAGAAATGTACTAAAAGTTTTCTTGGCATATTTACTGACCTAGTTTTGGGTCATAACCCGATATCTGGCATTGACCTATTTCAATACACGTGATCCTTAAATCTCCGTATAGTACCATTATAAATTGTTCCAGATTATTATGCCACCTGTTATGTAAGAATAAAGACTACTGCTGAAATATAAAACCAAACTCTTAAAAGAAAAAAAAGAAAACCAAGTAAATCTACTTTTCGTTTGTGTTTTAAAAGTGAAAACATTCCGACGTAGTACTCCTTTGTCAATAATGAAGTGTGCATGTAAAATAACACTTGGCAGTTGGAATTCAATTGCTGCCCGGGGAAATTTCTCTCATAGCGCACTGTGTGACGTATAACCGTCCTACTGTTCTGCACCGACTGGGCGGATGAAGACGAGCATATGCTATACATTTTTCTATGATGAAAAGTTGCACGGACACCGACAGCCAGAGCCCTCACAAGACTATGAGGCGCCCCAGGGCATAAGTTTCAGTGACGTCCCCACCCCTCCTTGGCATACTAAAACAGCCTTTTTCAGTGTCTGCGCTCAGTGGATTTTTTTATGATTATAAGAAATTTTTAAATACAATTTTTTGTTCAGAATATTCTTACAAAATAAATAATTCGCCGCCCCCTAGCTTAGAGGTGCTGTCCCCGGGAATATGCCCCCCTCAGCCTCCCATATGCGAGGGCCCTGCTGGCAGTACGGCCTACTCTTATTTTTAATTCCAACTGTCAAGGGTTCTTTTACGTGTACGCCAATGTGTACACGAGACCTATGTTTTTCGTCCCATCCGAACGACTATACGTTGCCCCTTGCCAGGCCCTCCGTCCAGCACCACTGGCAATGACGAAACACGTCGGAAAATCCAGGTTAGCGAGTCGTCTTACTCACTGAGCCACCGCGGCCCCAACTGGGTCGCTAAAGTCTCGGGTTCGTTCCTGGTGATATCTGAAAGCGTCCGACGTGGAAATTTACCAGAGAAAGAAATCACAATATATATATAGACAAACTCGTGTTCTTACTCTCCAAATTCCATTCTAAACTGTCGACACCAACAAATATCTTGTGTTTTTATTAACCACGGCGCACTCTTATTCATTTCTTTTTCAGCTTGATACAAAAAAACCCCAAAAAACAAAAAAACAAAAAATAAAACTAGTACGGCACGTATCATGAGATCACTAATATCATCAGATATTTAAGGCGACTTGCTATTTTCAGTGACAACGCCTACGTCTGTAATTATGGAATATTATACCAGACAAAATGGCAATTTTGTTGTTGAGTACGGCATTACATATTTAAACATGTGAAAGAGATCCGCGATTCTCAACACTAGTCGATCCATTAATGGGTTGCACTCCTATGTAAAAGACAGCACACCCCTGACCCTCTTACTCCCATCCTGAAAAGAAGACACAAAGTAGGTCATTTTGGGACCTATATATGGTACAGACTTTACGATCTAAAGCGTTAGACCATTCAGTCATACTCCCACCCCTAACACATGGGTGGCTGAGTGGTCTAAGGTTAGTTAGTGTTAGTTGTATTTTACGTCCGCTTCCACCGAGGTGATATCGCAGACAATGACGTGTTATGTGTACAAGGTGCATTAATTTACAATGTGATTAGTGAGAAATATTAGGATGGTTAGGTTTTCATATATATGTACATAGGACAATAAACAACAGTAGGATAACATGTGCAAAGGACGAAACAGGTGCCAGTAGACATTTACAAACATGCGATTTGACGGAACAGACATGGACAAAGACGGACATTTTCACAGACATAGACATATTATGTACATATATATATATTTTGGGTCGATTGGGTTGGTCTGGTCGTTCTGTCCGGTAGAATGGCAGGGCGGTGCAACTCTAAGTGGTCTAAGGTCTGCGCTTTAGTTCATAAGGTATGTCACGGAGTTAAGTGGCCTGGCTTCGATTACCAGCTTCTAGGGTTGCTTGTTCATACGAAAGCCGTATTAAATATACATGTATAGGGCTTTGGTTCCACCTCGCGTTTTTCTGATTCCCTGCCCCCCCCCCCCACAGCTAAAGATCACTATTATTGATATAAATTGAATCATGGGTAAGTTTGTGTCAAGTGGACGTTAAACACCATTTCTCTCTCTCTCTCGCGTTTTGATTGGAGGTAAATAACCTATTACGTTGTAACAGTTTACTCCGTATTGACCAGTGATCTATATATACAGATAAGATATTATAAATATATATATTACGTCTTGACATATTTTATTACCTAGACATCAATCATACATACATGAGTGTAAATACAGGTAAATAGATGACCTAGTTTTTTTTTTCTGACTGGGGTTCTCTATAATAACAAAAACAATATAAAGGATACACCAATTTAAATTTATATTCTTCGAGAACACTTAAAATTATGCCTCCAATTTCTTCAGGAAGAAAGCTAATTAAAAAACAAAAGCACTCATTTGCTCTTCAGCTTTATGTTCCAATTATTAATGTTAGTTCTCACTATCACGATTTATATTTGCTATGATTGAAATCGTGGTTTTATTCGTGGAGTAATCGTGGTGATCCTATCAGGTCTTTTCATATATTGAGGTCAGTAGTAGCAATCATGTTGATTGTATCGAAATGTTTCCAAACGTATCTGCACAATCCTATCGTAACGCAGTGGAAACCTAGCATAAATTAATTGAAAGGGTTGGTTGTCGTCCACGTATAAACAACTTTCTTCTCATTTTGATCAAATTTAAATGGTTTGAATAATACTTTATATTTTAAGACTAAACTCGCAGACGCCTACGGGCGTCTTTACAGAACGTTAAAATGAAACAGGAAGAGTATTCAGATTTATACGTCTAGCGTTCAACACAGATCACATAATGTTCTTAGAAAATACTAAGCGTTTAAATCCGAACACTGGACTCGTTTCGTAATGAAAACAAAATGAAACAGATTTTGAACACCAGAACGTGTCCATTTGTGTTTTGCCGCCACTTAGTATTGGATAAGCTGCCATAGAATTACAATGAATGCTGGGCAAAATGTCTCTGATAGCACAGCGCATGGCGTAAAATTGCCTGCATTGGCCCGGTTGGTGCACAGAAATTTCTATTTTAATTACGTTTAACGATGGGATATAACATTTGAATCCCGATTCTTCCGCAACCATACATTCTGGCCAGATTAAAATAATGACCAAAAGTCAATATTGACCACTATTATCATAACCACCTTAACCCTGGCAGTAAATATGACATTGACAACGTTATAAGTATAAGATATCGGCATGCAGTGTGTAACGTATACTAAACATCCCTACGTGAACTGTGCGAAAACCAGTGTTAGCTGATTATCAAAAGCTGTGTTAATTTGTTCTGCAGGTATCACCCAGGGTTCAAGCTGTCAGAACCAGAATTAGGCATTTTGCATCTACTTAATATGATGTTATATCTTTGAGATTATTTTCGAGTATGTTAAAAGCAAAGAGACGCGAATCTTGGTTACATTGACTTAAATATTATGTCATACTAAATGTTATATAATGTGCCCAAATAGCGGTCAGTAGATTTCTGGCTGAAACAAGCAAACTGCGTGTAGAAACTGGAATATATATAAAAATAGGGGTTTATCAGCTGCATATCTAATTGTAGAATAGAGAAGTCAGTTGGGTAGATTATATCCAATGAAATTGATGGTAGTGTATTGTAGGTATAATATCTAGTGTCGGCACTTGATAAAAACACTAAGGACAAAGACAGTCTATTGTTTCATATATGATATATGTTATCAACATCTTGAGTCTGATTACAGACACTAGTAGGAATTATTCATCATAGACTGTCCACAACTTCAGCAGAGATCATCATGAAGTTTGACGTAATTGCGGGAAAGATAGGCGAGTTTGGTCTTTACCAAAAACGTGTATATTTTCTACTATGTCTTCCAGCACTTTTTGCAGGAATTCAGACAATGATTTCAGTTTTTACTCTCGGTGTTCCAAAACACAGGTAAGTTTTTAAACTTACTTAATTAATAATTTTCTGCGGATCTTGTTTTTACCTGGTTACGTCAAAAATTGATCTTTTTCTATTTTTGAAAAAGTGACATTGATTTCATTTTTATTTATATGAATGCGATTCTATTAAATATATTTTTGTGTTAAAATATATACACTTTCGCGTATTTTTAGAAAATGATCGTAATCAAATAGTTAACCCATTTCTGAGCCAAAATATAGAAGGAAAAAACAAACATTGTTAAGTAGTTAGATTTGTGCACACTGTTGTTCTATTACACATTCTAAATGTGATTTTGGTCTCTTGGATACAACTTGTGATGGGGTTCGTTCACGAGACAGTGTGCACTTACTTGTTCCGCGTCTTTCGATACCATTTCAGTTAGGTTCATCGTTTGGCTTGTGATGAGTATAGATGTACCTAACAGCTTGATTGTCTCGGCTGTATTAATGAATTGCTTTTCTATATTTTTTGAGCAGTTATTTGTAGACTTCACGTCCGTTCGTTAGTGCATGGGACTTAACGTTCGCTTCCACATAGGGTGATATCACAGACAAGTTCATCCCTGGCCATTGGTTAAATTTGATTCATTTATATTGTGAACATATGCTGCTTGTTTTCTATATCCGTATTTATATTATGCCTGTTAGCATTCTAACGTTATGCTAGAGTTTTATTCGCTACAACCCAACACAATACTCATCCAAGAACATTATTATAAACTGTTATACAAACAAAAAATGTGTCGGGCATCTTGTATCATTCTACTGTTCCGTGAGAACTGCCAGCTCTTTATCTAAATCTTACATAATGAAATGAAATGAAATGGGGTTTAACGTCCTACTTACATAATGTATCTTTATCAGCATATGAGGGAAGTTGGTTATTGTGCTTTACTTTTTAAAAATGTATTTTTAAAATCTATTTCTAGATGTGCCATTCCATCCTTAAATAACGATTCGTATGAAGTAATCGATGATTCCCATAGATCATTGATTAATCAATCCATTCCCATCAGCGTATCATTCAAAGGTCAGAGGTCATACGATAAGTGTCATCTTATCGATGCCGGAGCCAACAGAAGTGAAGGATCCGGTCAACATGAATGCAGCATGTGGGTCTATGATAAGGAATTCTTTGATGACACAGTTGTTACTAAAGTAAGTTCTTTGAACTAGTTCCATACACTTGGTAATCTTGTTGTTTCCGCTGTTGCTCTTCTTCTTGTCGCGACTCAAATAAAAAAAGACTAAAGCTCCACCAATTGCGCGTTGACTGACAGACTTCTAGATTTGATACGACATCACAATTCCAAGATGGTTACGATGACGTTTTAAACACCACACATTATCGAGAGTGGATTAGAATCACCAATCCCGCCTCATTACTGAATCCAACAGCTCTTTTGCACATCTACGAGCTCTACTCCCTGAAGTTTGCCGAAGAATGCCAGTTGATATCAGGGGCGTTGTGACCCGACAAAAAAACCTAACAATATATGTGGGAAGGGGGGAGGGTCTCTCCCAGGACCGCCGAGTAATATTGGGCTGTGTGAAAAATGCTGGAGTCGATTTGTAGCATATCTGACCCATGGTATATGTTTGATACTGGTTGAGTATTATGATTATGATTATAATGTTGAGTTGAAAACCGCAAAGGGCGCAAAAACTCAAGGGGGCGCAAAAACTTAGCCCTGTTGCTGGTCAAACGGTAGGCTTACTTGGTGGTCCTATCTATAGTGCTAGTCACAAGTCTCTATTTGTTGATGATGGTTGCCCTGTACCTATCGGGCAAATGTAGAGGGGCATACGCCGTGCAGTGTGCTATTGGCGAAATTTTGCCCGAACGTGTACAGAGGACCTCGATTTTTCTTTGCACCCTTACGAAACGACTAGACTCTGTTTCTTACCACGCCCTTGCCCCCTCATTCACTGAGCCCACCATGTCTCCTGCTGATAAAGAAGATTGTCAGCTCATTGATAAAGTTCAGTATCAGCTAATAATTTTGCGTGATCAGCACAAATTCGTAATGGGCAGCATATTGTTTATGAACTGCTGTAAACTTTCACAGTCTATAATTACAATTCAAGGGCGGTACTATTACAGGAAGGGTTTAATTTTGTACCCCCCCCCCCCAAAAAAAAAGACATAATATAAAAAAAAGAACAAAAACCCAAACAAAAATTGCAAAAAGGTTGCGATTACAAATATGGTGTATGTCTTGATGACAAGGGAAATGAATTTGGGGTTTAACGTTATACTTTTCTGCACAAAATGGGATAATGAAGCAGGTCGTCTTTTTGAATAGCATGGCCATATGTACATAATGTTATCAGATAAGAAAATATTTTCTAATCATTCATAAAACCACGTCTTCGCAATATCTTGATGAACGATCAAACATCATATAAAATTTTCCCCTGCATGTCCTTGACCTGAGACAGGTCAGTGTCCTGGTTGTACTGTACTGTAAACTAAACTGGTATCATTGCCAGCTGATCAGATGTCTGTTATGGATTAATATCAAGCCCAATTGTAGAGTCTTAACCGTACATCACTACTACCCCCACCCCGCACACCCAAATAATTTAGCTAAAAAGTCGAGGAATAGTGCCGCGTATCAATGAGTTTAATCCAAATTTCAATGTAAGATTATGCGAACCTATCAGTAGAGTCTAATGTCACTAAACATTAGGAAGAGGACGGTGATAATGACCAAAAAATTTATTGTTTTTACTTTGACAAATTTTAATTTCTTTTGCAGTTTAATTTGGTGTGTGAAGATAAACTAGCAAGAGCCCATGCTAGAATGATATTAATGAGCGGATATCTCCTAGGGTCAGTTTTAACAGGGATCATAGCTGACGCGTAAGTAGTCATTACGAATAACAGGAGAACCGCCACATACATAAAAAACAAATGAAATGAAATGGGGTTTAACGTCCTACTGTTCTGCCCCGACTGGGCTAATGAAGACAGGCTTGCGCCATACAGTGTCCTATGAGGGAAATTTTGCCTCGACAACGGCGCTGCGGCCTACTCTTATATCGAATTACAACAGTCAAGAGATCGTTTACGTGCACGCCAATGTGTACACGGGTCCTCGTTTGTTTGTCCCATCCGAACGACTAGACAGCTGTCCTTGTCAGTCCCTCCGTCCTGCATCACTGACAATGGGAAACCATGCCGGAAAATACCGATGAACTTTTTCGGCCAACACCGGGATCGAACCAGCGACCTCCAGGCTAGCGTCTTCCTGACGCGGCTCCCCATAATTAAACATACACCCAGAAGACAAACTGGGCACAAGACAAACTGGGGACAATACATACAATATACGGACATTGCAAAATTGCAAAGTCGGCGGTAAGCGTCCATTGTACTGTATACAGTACCTGACTTGAACTGAAACAAGCAATCTGATTAAAACACAGATCCTATTTCGTTTCGTTTTTATAGTTCAAACTTTCGTTTTACTTGTCTTTACTACACTATGATCTGTTTTATAACCCGCGTTCCTATTACCAAATGAAACGGTCTGTTACGGCGAGTTTTTGGCGTGAGTTGCATGGAACTGTGAGTAATCCACTAGTAACATCAACGCTGATTGGTTAATCAAATGTCTAACGTCGTAGTGTCAAAAGCCGCTCGTGTGACCTCTGACGCGACCTCCCGCTGCAACTGGTCAGATCTTCATGTAGGGGAGGCCATCGAAAGTATAAAAATACGAAACGAAGTACAGATCTGTATTTTAATCAGATTGTGAAACAGGCTTCATAACAACAAGGGAGACAATCCCCGATAATGAGAATATTTTTCCAACATCGTATTATAGTAACTAGTGCATGTCATGATCGAGTGTGTATTTTCGCGATATCTCAATGTTAATACGTTGACAAAAATAGTTCATATTAAATATTCTGCTTATAAAATTAGAGAAAAAAACCCCACGTCCAATGAATTTTTGATAGCAATCAATAGGGTTTCTAATATCATAATAATGAAGTTCATTTGATGATTTTAACATTTGTACATATATACATATTCCTGTCACTGGACTGACTGGTAAAGGAGGATATTGATTCAATCTGATTAAAACACAGATCCTATTTCGTTTCGTTTTTTATAGTTTAAAATTTCGTTTTATTTGTCTGTACTACACTAGGATATGAAAGAGTTGTTATATAACCTACGTTCTGGATGGCGTGAGGTATTAGCCAATGAAACCATCTGTTACGGTGACTTCTTGGCGTGCCAGGCACGGAACTGTGGGTAAACCACTAGAAACATCAACGCTGATTGATTAATCAATGTCTGACGTCATACAAAACCCAGATTAGGCATGGGCCCCGCGGTTCATGGCAAAAATAGAAAAAATTCAAATTTCAGATAAAAGTTTCACGGTAATCGATCTAGCGGCGCGAGGGCGGAGACTGAGCTATCACTCAACCTTCTGTGTGAAGTGCCACTCAATCCGGTGATTTCACTTGTTATAACAGTTATATTATGCTATTTCCGCGCACTGTATGCCATTCGAAACTGAATAGATTTTGTATGTGATCAGATATCATGTAATTATATTTGTATTACAGACCGTTTAATTGTGTGTTACACATGCGTGCCATTCAAAGGGATATGAAATAATCTTTTCGTCGCGCTAGGGGCCCCGCGATTCTAGTTAGGCACAGGGCCTCGTTCCGGTTAAGCTGGGCTTTGACGTCATAGGGTCAAAAGGAACTCGTACGACTCCTGACGCGACCTTTCAGTAAAACTGGTCAGATCTTCATGTAGTAGAGGCCATCGAAAGTATTAAAAAACCAAACGAAATATAGATCTGTATTTTAATCAGATTGATATTGATTCGTCATAAGATTATCAAGGTAAATGTTTTGAAGCCCCATTCGGGTGATATAATTGATTAAATTACTATATATTTCAGGGTTGGTCGTAAGATGGCGTTGATGTTGCTGATTGTCATACATTCTACGTCATCAATTGCTACTGCATGGGCACCATCATTCATCGTTTACGTATGTCTACGATTTTTTACCGGGATATCTAATAGTGGACTTTTCCTTGTTGTTTTTGTTTTAGGTACGTACCTTTGATTTTATGGTACCAGAATAAAGATATTTAGAGAACAGGGTAAACAAATTTACCCGTTTTAACTAGTTTAAAGTGGATTTAAAACTTTCCTCAAGAAAATAAATTTAATCAAATGTCTTATTCCAAATAACTCTAGGCCCAGCTAATTATCGAAATCCAGTATTTGGTTCAAAGCTTAGAACGTTAATATCTCAGCGATGGATTGACAGATATGTCTCACAATTTGTCTGCGATTTGAAAAACCTCGGATAACTTCATATAGACGAAGATTTCAAGAGAAGGCAAAACCAGTTAAATAGTTATACTATAAATTCTATTAACCCTCGCCCTATATTTATATAGGGAAATGGTGCTAATATTTATAACAGCTACCAGGTTTTTATAACTTGTTCATAAACATTTGACCTGACTTATATTCTACAGGTGTTGAACTTGTTGGGCCGTCTAAACGAATGTTGGCAGGCATTATAGTTGAGTATTTCTGGGCGTTTGGAGTCATGATATTAGGAGGCGTGGCCTATGCGTTGAGAGACTGGCAGCTTCTTCAGATGACCTTCGCCTTCCCGTCTATAATACTTCTGTCGTATTGGTGGTTAGTATGACTATAATTAATAATCTTTGAGTGGCATTTAGTGATTGGGCTCATTAAAAAAACAGAATTTCTATGGAAAACAATCACTGGTTTAAGACATAATATAGCACGACGTTTCGACGAGTATTCTCTTATCGTTTTCATGAATTGTTGTCCTTGTCTCAATCAAAAATATAGGCCTTTTGTGATAGTTATAAGATATAAGTCAATAATGCATGATACAATGGCTGGCTGAAAAGTTCTAAACCTGAAAAGGATAGATCAATTGGGCTGAAGCAACCAAGTACAATCATTGAATGAATAGACATAAGAATTGCAACTGTAGTGTTATTATTGTCTTCGTACCAGATAATCTCCTGAACTTACCCATTGAAACCACCAGAAATGGACAAAACTGGCTATAGGGCAGCCATCAAGTACCTGCAACTGAAAGGACTAGCCCTAACCCAGCTTCATGTCGAAATGGCCCCACTTTAGGAGACGATGCCTTGATGTCACAGAGAGCCTTGACAATAACTCGCGCCATGGAAGGCCATCAACATCAACCATTCAAGAAAACATTACCCGGATGAATGACAGGCTAATGGCTAATCACCGATATTACCAGTGTTGTGGGCATCTATCATAAGAGGGTTGGGCAAATTACCACCAACGAGTTAGGAATGACAAACGTTTCTGCAAGAAGGGTGCCAAAGCCCTTGACTGCTAATCAGAAACGTGTCAGATTCCTTACGTCCTGTGACAATCTGCGCCGTTTTGAAGCAGATCCTGATATTTTTGTGGCTAGATTTGGTCCCGCCAGATTTCCACCTGTTTCCAGAAATGGAAAAGGGATCAGCTGGTCGTCATGATGACGTCATGTCAGCTGTGAACGACTTGTTTTAGGGGGGCTTAAGAAAATATCTTCCTGGCCGGCATGTGGGCCTTGGAACATCGCTGGCAAAAGTGTGTACATCTCGAAACCATCGACTTTGTACAGGTCTTTCACAGATAGGCTTAGAACTTTTCCAGCCCGCTGTCGATCGTACAGTTAAGATACAAAACAGACCATGGGTATAACAAGAGCCGGGAGGGGATTGGACACTTGATTTTTGACAAGAATGTCTTGGGGTTTAATCTCAGAATAAGGCATAAAGAACATGATATATACTATTCAAAAAAAGTAGGGGATATTTGATTTTTAAGTGTTATATGAAACTGACAAAGAAACAAATGACAAAATGAAAGGAAGTGCACATTCATCGATTTATTCCAAATGATCGTTAGACTAAGTAAGGCACAGACTGACCATTATAAGGGTAAAATGATACCCGGGGTCAAACAGCAAAGTTACCACAGCATCACAACCAAGTCAGTAACGGGTAAATCCTCCTCTGTTTGCCAAACATGCATTGATCCGACGTGGCATACTCCTAATGAGACGTCTAAGGTCATTTTGGTCCAGATTGTCCCATTCCTGTTGCAACGCAGCAGCGAGTTCTTGGACATTGGCAGGACGTTGTTGACGTTGACGTAACCTCTGTCCAAGCATGTCCCAGACATGCTCGATGGGGGGGAGGTCGGGACTCAGTGCTGGCCAAGGTAATGTGGTGATGTTCTGTTGTTGGAGGTAACCTGTAACGATCCTGGCCCTGTGACATCTTGCGTTGTCATCCTGGAAGATGAAACGGCGGCCATGACGTCGTGCGAACGGCACAACATGGACTGCCAAGATGTTGTCCCGGTAGTACTGGCCTGTAACACGCCCTGCAACAACATGTAAAGCCGTTCTTCCAGCAACAGTGATGCCTCCCCACACCATAACAGAACCACCCCCAAATCGATCATGTCTGATGACGTTAACGTCTTGGAAGCGCTCGTTTCGACGACGCCACACCCTCCTACGTCTGTTCAAAAAATCAACAGTGAACCTTGACTCATCTGAAAACATCACATTGCTCCAGCGTCGATTATCCCAGTGTTGACGATCCCTACACCAACGACGTCTTGCCTGAATGTGATGATCTCTCAAACAAGGGATCACGCGAAGACGTCGGGCGCGAAGGTGACCCCTATGCAGTCTATTCCGAATCGTCTGGCCACTCACTCTCACACCAGTGTCTGTTTGAAGACGAGCGCTGATCTGATTTGCTGTGATGACACGATTTCTCAAGGCCAAGGTACGGATAAATCGATCCTGGGCTTGAGTTGTCGCCCTTGGTCGACCTGAGCGTGGTCTGTCCTGTACAGATTGTGTATCACGGTATCTGGACCATAGCCTGCTTATGACAGACTGAGAAACATTCATCGTCCGCGCCACAACCGCCTGTGTTGTGCCGATCTGTAGCATGCCAAGGGCACGTAACCTTTCATTTTGGGTAAGCCGACGCATATCAAAATTTGTTTTCTGGTCACTAAAACAATTAAACTGATGTTTCCACCCTGGAATTCAATGCCACAATGACTGTAACATTCAAAGTCAGAGTCGTGCAAATCTTGGGTTGGACCCCCATGATGATCCCAAGCCTCACCTGCATTCCATGCGGTAGCTATTGGTGCGTTTGGGCGTCACATGTAACTGGAAATGTTTCTTCTGTTAGGTTCTATAGTGACTTTTTTCGTAGTCATTTGCATATTTTAGTATTATGCCCCCAAAATCAAATATCCCCTACTTTTTTTGAATAGTATATAATAAACGGCCCTAGAGATAGAGCATTCATGGCTGTATTGTCTGGTCGTGTGAACGGTGTTGGCGTGGTTCCCCATTGTCAAGGAGGTCCTGTGTACACATTGACATGCACAAAAGTTCCTTTGGCAGATGGAATTCGATATAAGAGTAGACTTTAGCGCCGCTGTCCTGGCAAAATTTCCCTCATAGCACAATGCATGACGTATGCCCGTCTTCATTAGCCCAGTCGGAGCAGAACAGTAGAGCGTTAAACCCAGTTTTAGTTCATTTCATTTTGCAGACCAGTAGTACGTTCATTTCCGTCTTCATATTCCGGTTATTGCAGAAAGGTAGAACGTTAAAATTCATTTCATTTATGTTGTAGGCTTATACCTGAATCACCTAGGTGGTTAATGGCGAAAAGACGCCACGAAGAAGCTGAAACGATTATAAGAGATATGGCGAGAGTGAACCAAGTTAAATTACCAAAATCATTGTTTAAACAGGATGACGTTACCGGAGAACTTGTTTCACAAGAAAACCTCCATAAAGTTGACGTTTGGCAAGTCTTCAAATCACCTATATTGGTTTTTAGAACAGTTGTCATCTTTATTAACTGGTAAATTTCCATTTAAATATAACACATTCTTATGTCATACCCTTTGGAATGTTGTTCTACCACATACGATATGTCATCACGTGCATGGTGGGTGCCGTTCTTCTATTTACGTCATAGGCAAAGACACAATGGAATTTGAGAGAAAAAAAAAACAACGACTTTGTGTAATTTTTCTAAAGTCATATTGCATTGATATAACAACCTTGACATTACTTTATTTTGTGGAATAAAATGGCGATATTTTGCTCTCATTTTAAGTCAAACATAGGCGGTGACGTAATTCCCTCACCCCCTGTCAAACGCGCGTCCGGTTAGTATAGATAAATAAGAGACAAAGACAGAGGCAGAGACAGAGAGGTTTAACTTCCACTAGACGCAAACTAGGTCATTACCGGACTAACATATGGTGAAATTTTATTATTATAAATCGCTTGCCCATATGCGTCTTTAACAGTGGGAGGAAACCTGAAAACCCGTAAAAAAGTTAGTCAGGCAACACTACTCCTTGTCACTTACGAGCTTATGGTCGATAAACGATTTAAAGCGCACACATTAGACCACCCCATCACATAACCACCCACCACCCGTCCCCCGCCCTGTTCACTACCCCACCCTCGGAAGAAATAAGATAAGATTCTATTTATGGGTTAAACGCAAGCACGACGCGATCCAAATTTCTTGTGAATTTATGTATCACACCAATAACTGTTTTTTTCTCTACTCTAGGTTTGTAGTTAGCATGGTTTTCTACGGTCTGAGTATGAATGCTGATTCATTGGGTGGTAATGTTTACGTGAACTTTGAACTGTTGACTTTTATGGAAGTAGTCGCCTATGTTCTATGTCTGTTATTCTTGAACAGATTGGGAAGAAAAAAAGTTCACTGTACCAGTATGTTGGTTGGCGGATTAGCATGTATTGGTACCTTATTTGTTAATCTCTATGGCGATGAATGTAAGTAAATTTTATTAAACATAAATACAGGGGTTCACAGGGGAGGGGAGGGGCGAGGGTCAAGAGGGGTCATGGGCCCAATCAGCCGAGAGTAACAAAAATAAATACACTTCATCCTCGCACCCACTAAAATATATAATGGCTAGGAACTATGGACAGAAATAATTTGTGCGTTTTCTCATCATGTCACGCATTCTTCATCGAAACAAGGGACCCAAGGAAACCAGATATGGTCCCAGGGTTCAGAGTTTCCCAGTTCGCCATTGGATGGTCGATCACATTTCGGAATTACTCGATAACTTCCGGTAATTTCCGGTGTATACTGATAAATCAAGCAGGCGGAAGGGTTAACCCAGAATGAAGGAGAGGGTATTCCGGTTCAAATGGTCATATAGATAGAGGAAGCTTTTTTCAGAACCTTGTTCTTTAAACCCAACATAAACATCTCCATTATATATACAAATCGTGTCCGACATTGATATCTTATTTATTTGGGATATAAGTTCGGGAAAGGTGGACGTTAAAAATACCAATTATCCCAGTGCTGACGATAATGATTGTTGTTATCTCATCGCTGACGATGATGTCTTTATTCACCGACACAGAATCTTTATCATAATCATCCTAGCACTGACGATGACGATTGCGTCACTGCGCAACGGACTACAAATATAACCATCCAAACATTGGACCAATCATAAGTTGTATTGTTTCGTAGTATATTCAGAAATGTTCTTTTTTATCTGTTGCAGCTCTTAATTGGATAAACATAATTTTAGCTCTCATTGGTAAAATTGGTGCTGCTGCAGGGTTTGCTGTTATATTTTTTTACTCAGCGGAACTATTTCCTACAGTGCTTCGTAATTCCTTTATGGGTGCTGGTAGTGTATTTGCTAGAATTGGTGGAATGGTATCTCCGTACATAGCGGATTTGGTAAAATAATTTCTTCAAAATAAATAAAAATTTCGTCGATGTTTTATGACAAAGTATGGGAAACAATGTTCTCATCTGAAAACTTGGAAAAGGTGTTCTAGTTCGTTGTGTTAAGATAATAGCGTTTGCAAGGTTCGGCTTTGTTTCAGTAGAATACAAGACCAGCATATATTACTTCGGATGAGACGAAAACCGAGATCCATTGTACACATTGGCGTGCACGTAAAATAACCCTTGACTGGAAGTTGAAATAAGAGTAAAATCCCATCATAGCATACTGTATGGCGTCCGTCTTCATCAGCCTAATTGGAGCAGAACAGTAGGACTTTAATCCCCATTTCATTTATTTACTATGGGAAACTCTGGCCCTTTCTGAATATGGAGTTGTTTGATGCGTCCGTTTGCTCCTTTCAAACCAGTTGTTACCCGCGTGAGAGAGGAGGGCGGTATATCCACTATCCATTGAAAATCACGTTTTTAGTCACTTACACAAACGCAGTGCACTTGGGAGACAAATCGCCATCTGTACATAGAATATATTACATCTGGTATTGTGAGCCGTCTTGAATAAATGACATAGATATAGATTATCTTTTCCTCAAATATCCATTTTAAAAGATTAAATATAAATAAAAAACACCGCCTCTTAATTTCTGTTTCAGGGCTCAGTGGTAGGAGGTAACTTCGGACCGTCCTTACCATTACTGATATGTGGTCTGGCTTCTATATTTGCTGGATGTGCTGCTCTAACTTTACCCGAAACACTCCATAAAGATCTCCCTGAAACTATAAACGATGCTAAAAAATTTGGCAGGTGAGTGAAATCTGTGTCATCAGATTTTAATATTCCTTTTGATTGGTAATGGAATATTGATGCCATGGCGTATTATGAGGGGTATTTTTCTGAAGTGTCGGATGTTGAGTAAAGAGTTTCGAGTTGATGTATTGATGTAAATAATTTCATATATTCGAGTTTGAGTTTTCGAGTTTGGATGTAAACAATTTCATATATTCGATTTGACGTTTTCGAGTTTCGATTACTAAAATATGTATTCAAATAACTAAAATATATATTTAAATAGCTAAAATATAAATAGCTTAAAAATATATTTAAATAGCTAAAATATACATTGAAATAAATTAAACATTTATATTTAAATAGCTAAAATATACGTTTAGATAACCAAAACATAATATATATTATATTATCTAGATAATCTCATCATAATTATGTTTTGATAACTTCATCATATTTGTAAATAATTCTATTTTTTTTGTAGTATTTTTGTATAATATTTGTTGTATTTTTTATTTGTTTGATATTTGTATAAAATAAACATTTAGATTACTAAAATATATATTTAGAAAATACACATTTTAAATGATATACCATATAATATAAACTGTTTGTTTTGTTTGTAGAGAACCCGTGGTCAAACCAGATAGTGTTAAAGAAGAAGGGAGAGAAATGTTACCGAAAGACGTTACCTCACAAGTTTAACAGAATTATAGCTTTGATATCCCTTTTATATACATTTGTTAAAATATCATATCATTGACAATGTTTCATAATATTTCTTTATAGAAGTGTTATTTGTATATAATTACACACGTATCATTTATATCATAACCCTTATTTTTATATATTCATTGGAATAGCAAGAAGTATGTTTAAAATAATGTTACGAATAATGGACAATCTGATTCTTGTCGAGTGATCCATTAACTACTTAGTGGTTATTTAATCATCCTATTGGAGACGTAGACTAGGAACTTCCCAGAAACATTAAAACCAATTGATACAACTATGGACTACATTTTATATTCTAATAACCATACTCATCAAAGTTCACTCCCCGGTGTTGAATCATTGTCTTCTGGAGAAAATGGATGTCAACAGACAATAAAACATGTTTATGAATGAGTTTATGTGATATACTTTGATAAGATAAACAAAACACAACACGGGGTAGCCTATAATAATATGTGTAGGATAAAGCAGGGACTCGGGTTATGCTGGGGAAAGAAAGACTGAAGGAAATAACCGGAGAAAAAGAAAAACCGAGGCCGGGAGGCCGAGCTTTTTCTGTCGAGGGATTTTTCTGAAGTCGAGGACTTTATCTTGCTTATTAATCATTTATGTTTATATGTACGCAAAATGAAAATATCACAGAATTCCCGTAAGAAAAACCGTATATCATGTTTTCTTATGGAAAAAAACCTAGCCTGGAAGAATCACCTGTTACAGTTTTAAAGAAAAACTTTCAGAAGAATAACCCCAAATTCCCCCTTTATATATCCAAAGCCGGGGCCCGTCTTTCAGACCGCAAGTTATTCCGGGCATAGAATATACCCCAAAGAGCAAAGAGATTTACCTTTATAGGTTTATAAATACATATAACTACTTCTCTGTTATTAAAATGACGATGTTTCGTAACAATACAGATCATGTTTTCAAGTTAATGAAACATATACTTAAATAACAAAGAAGTGGTTATATCCATATATACTTTGTGTTGGGTTTTGTTGTTTTATAGTTAACTTTGTGCTTCTAGAAGTGATAGTCAAGATAAACACTCGGCGTTTAGATAAAACCGCCTAAAACATGAATTGATTGACCATGTTAATAATACTGATCGGATAAATTAAAAACACACTGGAAGGGTAGCATCTGATTTGTCCAACTAATATCTGATATGATCAAAACAAATAATTTAAACAATTAAACAGGCATTATGCACTAGCTAAATCTATATATTATGTTATCTATATTATTAATTAGACGTTTATTAACATGACAAGACCATAATAAACGCTTGATGCCATTGGATTGCTCTGATTTTAAGTAGATAAGAACGGTTCGGTTGTTTAATGATTTAATTTAAAAGTGGAGAAGCGAGACTAAGATTCACTGACCAGTACGGTGTTTACGATCAATGCACACATCTTGTCAAGGCTACAACTATTGATAACTTCGCTCAAAATAAAGTACGAGGTAATTTGAATGGAATTTTCAATATATTCATTTTGTATTATGTATTTTTGAAATATTATCTAAATCTTACATAATGTACCCAGATCATCCATTTAATTATTTTACACGCTTACATTAGATGGTAATGTGATCGTGAACTGTTGTCATATTGTCCGTATGCCCTCCACTCTTAAGTTATTCGTACTAACTTTTTGTAGTTTTTTAAAAAAATTTTAACAAAATTTAAGAAGAAGAGTTTAAAGACGCCCTCTGTTAATCTTCTATTTGAAACAAAATCATTTCCAGACTTATTGTCATTATGGCTTAGTTTAACGGAGCGGAATTCTTGACAGAATCTCAAAAATTTCCTTTGGAAGATGGCGGCTGGCGGGTGGCGGGGTGATGGTGTGTGTGTGTGTGTGGAGGGGGGTGGGGGGTGGGGGGTGGGGGGTGGGGGGGTGTTGTTGGGCTTATAGTTATTTCCCTTGCCCGCAATACTTTTTCGCGGACTACAGGCTGCTTTTCAATATTATCAATAATTTGCTTTATTGCAACTTGTGGAGATAAGGAGTCATGTTCCAATTACTACCCTTGATTCCACAACTTTTAGCACGCGGATTTATATTTTTGATATTTCTAACTTGTGTAAATGATTGTTATTATTTTTATGTTCATCTTGTTCTAGAATCTTACTGCTATGTTTCAATATGCAAAAAAGTTAATAGTTCGGGTGTTTTTTTGTTTGTTTTTTTTTTAATTAAACCACCCCCCAAAAAAAACCGTAAACGTAAGTAAATGTTCTGAGGACAAAGCTGCTGGTGAGTACATCAATGATTGCCTGACTATCCATACCCTGTAAACATAATATAAAGAAATGCTATACTGTATGTATATAGCCGACGTGATGTTACTGAAATAAATAATTTTCTTACTTATACTTTCTTCTTCATTTACTTACTAAAGATACTATTATGTAAGGGCTAAATATGCCTATTGTACTGTAGGTCTCTGTTCTAGTTTCAAATGTTATATGAGTCAACAGGCGTGGTTTCGATTCCCCGGTTGTACGTGACAAAGAGTAGGGTTGCCTGTCCTACCTCGTGGGGTTTCTCCGGGTCGTTCGGTTTCATGTCACTGCTAAAGACCCCTACGCGCAAGCGAATTATTGAAATAAAATTGAACCATATGTTTGTCCCGAAATGACCTAGTTTGTGTCGAGTGGACGTTACCCCCTTCACTCTCTCTCTCTCTCTCTTTATTACGAATAAACAACATTTGTCATTATAGCAAATACGTATAGCTTTTTTTCCATCTTACATAATGCATCGTATGGCTACAGGACAACAGGGTGTGTTCAGGAATTTGAGCAAGTGAGGCTTCGGGCTGGACAATGTCAATTTTGGCGTAATGTCTGGCGATTATCCGAGAATATTATAAAATCAGAAGCTCCGAGACAATATCTCTGCTCTTAGGTGCATACATGTATAGGATTAGAGTATGGCCAAACCGGCGGTAATGCTTCAAACCTTTGTTTGTTCGACGTTATGAATGTCACCCCCCCCCCCCCCATGGACTCTCGTTCCGGATACGCGCCTGGACTACTTTTAACATCTTATAGGCGACGTTTGCTCTTTATTCTCCACACTATCACCCCATTTAAATTTAATTAATGACGGCTAGGTCATGCACGAGGGAAGTGCCAATTTAAGATAGACTTTATGGACTGGAGGGCCTTGATGCGGGTTCTCATTTAATAGAATAGTTGACTTTGCTTTGTTGTGCTTTTGTATTCAAATAAAATGGAATGGGCTTTAGCGCCCTACTCTTCTGCTAATGAAAACTGGTATAGACCACGCAGTGTTAATCGTTCGTTTACATACACAGACCTCGGATTTCGTCACATCCGAACGATGAACCTCCTGGTTACTCATTGAGCCACCGCAGCTAGCTTTGTATTTAAAGGAGGTGGGTCTATTTGATTTACTTCTCGCTCAGTGTTATCGCTACCATTTAGTAAGCGGAAATCGGTCTGTGTATACATCTTCTTGTTTTTCTTGGGAAAATAGTCTAAGGCTCTGTCAATTAGTGTAAGATCAATATCCTTGGCATATATAATTATGCTTGTTCTTTGGTCAAATTTACATCTATTGACGGACTGGGTGTCATGCTCGATTCCTGGTTCGTAGTTCGCTAGATGAAAAACGTTTGTCTATTTGTTTATGTCTGGGAAGTGGTTAAATAAACTGTCAATCGTCAGTGCATATATGGAGACAGACTTATCTGTTGACGTCATAAGCAAATAAAATGTTGATTATGATATATTCTAGTGTCGTTTTTTATTCATACACATATTAACCTTATTAATCAACGGTACATTCCTGCTTTAAGAACAACATATATCTTTATTATTTATGTAGTTTATATATCGCTTGACCCAGAAAAAAACGAGTACACCATTAAAGGGACAATAACACTCTTGCTGGCTTGACAACTACGGAAAATAAAAAATAGCCTTATTCTAAGTACTAGATGTGTTAGTGTCCTACCTGTTGTGTAAATTATCCATTAAATCCTATTTTACTTGTCCAAAGGGTTCAAAAATATTTTTAAATCCAAGTCACATTTGAAAAGCTTTACGTCAGGCTTTTCAAATCATTTAGTTGAATTTTCCCAATTTTTTAAATTAGGTGTGTTAAGATGAAATTTGTATCATCAATTAATTGGAATATTGTAAAATAGTACAATTTGTTGACCAGAATAAAGATTGGGACATATTATTCAGTTACAACAAGAGTGGTATTGAGCCTTTAAAGTGGAATAAATTCAAAAGAGGTTTTATCTATAAGAGTAAACTTTAATCAAAGACATCGCGTAAACAAATCGACATAAAATCAAATGAAATCGATAATTTCATATTTGACCTAGCCTCTATCATTCAATTATTAGGAGGTTCTGGGTGACCGAGACTATATTTGAACCTAATTAAAGAGGGTTTGTCATTTTATAATTACCCTCTTCCAACAGTGGTGGATCCAACACCCAAAACACAGTGCTTATCTGGAGACTTAACCTCTCCCCGAAATTCTTAAACCTAATCCACAATTTCGCTAATAATCACGTGCTCTAACCTGGCAAGAAAAAAAAGCGTCTAGTCGTTCGGATGAAACGAAAAACCGAGGCCCATCCGTGGCACGCACGGAGAAGAATCCTTGACAGTTGGAATTCGATGAAGAGTAATCAGAATACGCCGCTGTTTACCAAAGAATTTTCTCAGCAAACTGTATGGCGTCTAGCTGGGTTCATTATTCCGATTGGTGCAGAAAAATAGGACATTAAATCACATTTCCTTAAGTAGTGTAGAAAATTAAAACAGAAATACACAAGTTGTAAAAAGGTAATGCAGGAATGGGACTATGAATGCGTCAACTTATTCAGAAAATCTTGGATCTATTCTATCAATTCTGATTGATTTTATAAACCTAAATCACAAGGTATTCTAAAGAGGGTGGTTAAGTTCGAAACGGAAGACCCGGAACACCGAATATGGATAGGGATCAACCTCCCATGAATTATTTATTTTTATTACATTATTTTGTAAAACTTAGGCCTACTATATCTTTTTGTATTATATATTATGTAATGTGTTTAATTTTATTATGTATCTTTTTTTATTTTATGTACATTGTATTATGATTGATTGTATTATGTATCTTTTTATTTTATATATTATATGCATCTTTTTATTTTATATATTATATGCATCTTTTTTTTTATTTTATATAATATGGATTATTTATCTTTATATTTTATATATTATGTACCTTTATTATTTTAAGGATGGAGTATCATTTGTTATGTATTATCTTTATATTTTATACATTATGGATTATATATTTCTTTTTATTTTTATATATGATGAATTATATTTCTTTTTATGTTAAGAATTATATATTTTTGTCATATATTACGAAATATATATCTTTTTTACTATATACATTATGAATTGTATTTCTGCTTTTATCTATTATATTCAGAATTATATATCTTCTGTTATGTTATGGAATATATCGTTTTTGTTTTATACATTGTAGATTATATATTTCCTTTTTCTTTTACATATTACGGATTATATAATATTTCCTTTATTCTATATATTATTGATTATATTTCTCTTTGAAGAGAACCTCCAAGGCCCAAATTCCAGCAGATGAAGGGCATTACTATTTTAATTAAAGCGACGTTTGTCGTAATGTAGCTTAAAAATGTATTGGCGGGTTAAAATGTCGTGATGTCGGGTTGTCAGGTTGTCGGCCATCTTCCTCTCATTATACAGTATGTACATGTACACTGATCCTGGTATTGGGCAAGAAATTTTCCCAGGATTTTGCTGCGGGGTTTCTCCCTGTTGGTAGTGCAGGGCGAAAGGTCTGGCAAAGAATAGTGTCTAGTTGTGTATATGGGACAAACAATCCAAGCTCCTGTGTATAAAGAACCCTTCACAGTTGGAATTCGATGAAGAAATGTCACCGTCCCTAGAAAATTGCCGTCATACCTATCTTCAATAGTCCGATTGGTGCAGAAAAGTAGGAAAATTAAATGACATGAAATGGGGTTTAACGTCCTACGTCCTAAATGCTGCAAAATCCCGTGGAACTTTCTTGACCAACACCAGCATCTGTGTACATAATCATACTGTATATTGAGAGGAAGATGGCCAACAACCCGACATCGCGATATTTTAACCCGTCAATAAGACACCTTCGAATTTACGACTTTTTATTGTCGTGGTTTCGGGTGGAAATGTCGTATTGTCGGGTGAAAACGTTTAGATGTCGGGTTGTGATGTTGGGTTAAATGTCGTGATGTCGGGTTGTCGCCTTATGAAGGGCGTGAATATCGAAGGGAACCAAAATCTTCGGGTTATAAACATGTATTTCAAGTTTCATCGAAATCGGTTCAAAATTGTGACCTCTAGAGGGTTCACACCCTTGATTTACCAGATGTTTACACTATTTGCGTACGAGGGACGTCCATTTTGTCCGGCAGTTTTGGCCTGATTTTAACGAAATTCGAACTCAACAAACATTACGGTGTAACGGTGATACATTCGAACGTTTTTTTTTTAAATCGGATAATAATTGTGACCTCTAGAGGGACCACAAGCTAAAAACGTGATTTTTCGTACAATCAGGGGCCATAATTCAGGAAGTTACCATTCGATATGTACGAAAATCAAAAGGAACC